TCAATTTCAATATGTTCAAGAACATTATAATATCCAATCATTTGATATTTATTTAGGAGTAGATGGAATATCTATATACTTCGTTCTATTAACTACAATAATAATGCCAATTGCATTGTTATCAAATTGAAATTCAATAAAAGAAAATGTTAGATTTTATTTAATAACAATATTGTTATTAGAAACATTACTTTTAGCCGTTTTCTTAGTGTTAGATATATTATTATTTTATATTTTCTTTGAAAGTATATTACCACCTTTGTTTTTATTAATAGGTTTATTTGGGTCTAGTAATAGAGTAAGAGCTAGTTATTATCTTTTCTTATATACTCTTTGAGGTTCTTTATTTCTATTATTATCTATTTTAACTATGTATTCTATAATGGGTACAACGTTATACCGCGTATAGACGCTATATATAGGTTCTTTAGGTCGAATAGGTTTTACTAATTCGCCTTATATGCCTTAGCCTACCGACGAAGTGCTTTTTCCCTCTTATACAGAGACTTCCCGGCACGTGCGAGCCTACTCGTGTTCTTATAATAAACGCGTATACCGTGCCTAAGTTTAGCTTAGTCCTGCTTAACCTCCTCGAAAACTAGATTACGAACGCTAGGTAAAGTTAGTTTACTATTCCGTATACGCCTAGTATATACCACGTATATACTAGGGATAAGACGACGGTAAATCTTACCCTAGGACCCTAGTAAGGAGGGTCTTTTTCCGGCCTATATTCTGGTTATCCTTTGTATACGATACTTCGACTAGGTTAGTATCGCGGCGAAGAGTTCGCCGTGTATCTGCAGGAATCTTATTTAAAGGTAAGTAGATAGCTATAGTAACCCAGGGTTTCGCCTTATGCTTCGCTTAGCCTTATAGTTCCGGCTATTCCTCGTATATAACCCGTAGATGCTTATTATACTAGGAGTATAACGGGGCCTTAAATAGCTTCTAAATAAGCGTTATAAGCTAGTGGTTAACGTTCCCACTATAGCGGCCGATCTTTCGTTTTAGATACACCGTATAGAAGGCTAGTAGGTAAAGGAGATACTTATTATAGGTCCGGCTATTATCGAGAGAGTATAGGTAATCCCCGAATCCTATATATAATATAAGTATATACCTAGCGTCTCCCCCGTATTATACGGCGTATATACCACGAAAGGAAAAGGAAAAAAGGAAAAAAGGAAAATAGTAAGGCTATATAGGGTAAGGGAGTATATACGGGGTATATACGGGAGAGGAAAAACTAACCTTTACACTATTTAGATAATATATCTAACGTAATTACCTGGATAGAATTCTTAGCTATCGGCTTAATATACTAGAACCTGACCGGCGTTTCTACTACTTCGTTAATATACCGGAAAAGTAACGTAAAAAGCCGGTAATACCCTTTCCGTCCTTTTACGTTTATAAAAACGTGGGCTAGTATTCGTACGCCTTAATTCGTGTTAGCTAAAACGGGGCTTATACGTGGTATATACTAGACTTACGGTTAATATCGTTATTCTAGTAGCTAATACTATAGTAGTTATTATTCCGCCTATAAACTATCTTAAACGATAAGTCTATTTATAGGTACCGTACGTTCTGGAATTCCTAGGCCTTAGTATATACGATGTATATAATATAGAACGTCCTGTCTTCCTCGACCTTGACTGCTCGTATCTAACGCTGCTCGGTAGGATAATCCTATTTATATGCGAATTCCCGCGCGATACCTAGAAGGGTTAGTAACGGTGTATATACCGGGCATATAAGGTGTATATACGGGATATATATTATACCTTAAAGATTATAACCCACCGGGTAACGTAATAGTCGGGCTTTTCGAATTAGGCTATTCACTAAATTATACGAACTAAACGCCTAGTATACTTCTATAAGAGACCTAATACCAAATCGTCGATATAGGGGAATAAGGCCAGAGTTTAGTAGTAGCCGCTCTAGTATATATTAGTATAGGTTATATAGGCTAGGTATATACCTAGCCTATACGTGGTATATACTCGAACTTACTAGCTATTAGGGCAGAGATATCTAGAATATCCTTTAGACTAAGAAGTAACTGCTATTTTAACCGTTAAGGAACCTCGGATTAGAGTACCCTATAGTAATAAAGTATAGGATACCCGAGTTCCGTGTAGTAGGGTATAAAGGGGGCGTTTAATAGTTAAAGAACTCTGTAGCTATAACTATATTTCCGCCCTGTTTAGAAAGGATAACGAATACTATAGGAAGATTAGCCTGTATATAGTCAGTATATACCCCGTATATATCTAGTATATACTTATATAGAGTCCTATCCGCAGGAACCCAGAGATAGGATAGCCCTTATCGCGGTTATCCTTTAGTTTAGCACCTATTCAGTTAAAAGTATTCTTTTTAAATATCTTCTAGCTACCTATTACCTATCGGTTAACTAGATAAGTTAGGTTTACTCCCTTAGAACGTCCTTACTCCCGGTCTAGCGTAGGCGTATCCCGGAAAGGATCCGTTATATCCGAATTAAATAAGATCTCGGATCTAGGCGAAGGCGACTCTTCTAATATAGCTGCGGTTAATAGCCTACGTATACCCTGCATATGCCCTGCGTTTACTATATGTATGCTTTGCGTATATTACGTTACGCCTTTGAAAAAATTTTGCGTTACCGTATATACGATCTATATACGATATATATACAGGGACTATATCTTCTTACTTTTATCAGATATTTTCCGGCTTATACGAGGCGTATACTAGGCCTATACGTTACTTACTATATAGCTAGGAACGATATATAACGCGAACTACTTAGATAATATACCTAAGGTCACTTTTCCTTAGCATTTTACGTTCGAGGCCTATACGAACTTTTAAGTGGGTCGATTTCGAGGCCTATATAAACTAGCCCGAGGCCTAGGTAAACTGGTTCCTCTCACGTCTATGCCACGATCAAGGTATCGGTAAATTGCGAGAACGGGTATGGATGCTTCATAGCACCAGGCTGGAGCAATTTGATGACCCACCCATCTGATCCGCATTCTCTAGCATCGGTGAAACTCATTCACACCACACGCCATATTACCAAGAGCACACCAAGAACGCACGCCGACGAGGAGGGATGCTCCTCTTTCCTCAGGCCATCAACCTGCCTAACACACAATCAAGGCCTTGCATTACACGGGTTGATAGTCAGGGCGGTCAGGGCGGCACCTCTATATAATGGATCGCCCCGAGCCTGGGCTGATCAAATGGTCGCCCATCGCTGGCCATGACAGGTTCATCCACATCAACCTGCAGCATCGGGTGGTCCAACTGTACGAGCCTAATGGGTTTGCAAATAATGGCCGCTTCGAATACAAACAGCTCTGCAAGCACGACAACTTCCCGGCTCTCACTACCTATGACTGGTCGCCTGCCCTTCCCGGCCTTCTGGCCGTCGGAGGTCAGAATGGTGGTGTGAACCTACTGAGGATAGACGACAACTCGAACGACTGCATCGAACTAGGGCTTAAGATGACTAGGATGTGTCAAGCCGTGTCGTTTAACACTCAGGGACGGCTTGCCGTCGGCCTGGAGCGCGTCCGCTTGGACCAAAGCCTGCACATTTGGGACGTCAGCCGACTCGCCTCGATGAGCAAGTCTGTCAAGGGATTCCCCAAGGACATCGTTCCCTTCGCCGAGCCCTTGCTCCGACTAGAGCCTACTGCTTCCATCTCGAGCGTCAAGTTTTTCGAGGACAGCCCCGAAACCCTGGTTATCGGCCTCAAGGCACAGGGGCTGCGCCTCTATGACCTCCGGGATCCAACTGGCAGCTTGGCGATCCAGTATTCCACACGTTGCAACAACAATCTCGCCATAGACTATGCGGACCAGAACTACTTCGCTTCCTCTGCACTTGACCAGCCGGGAGTCTTTGTCTGGGATCGACGCGCCACCGGTCGTCCCGTCGCTTCGCCCGCCTATCTACAGGCGATCGACGAGGAGGATGTGAGTTGGGGCGGGGCCTTGTGCCTTTGGGATGCCGTTAAGAACGACGAAGAACCATCATTGACCGACAGCAAGCATTCGCTTGTTCGCTCCCTGCGGTACTGCCGTGACCGTCGCGGCTTGCTGGCCGTCCTCACCCGAACCGGTCAGTTGAAGGTGATGCAGACGGACAAGGAGCCAACCCCCCCACAGGATCGACTAGCCGGAAGTCCCGAGCTCCTGCAGGTCCAACGATCGTACGAAATGGATGTACACTTCTCGGACCCTAAAAGAAAGAACGAGAGGATTGTCTCTTTTGACTGGGTCACCCTTCCGTATCCTTCTCTTCAGCCTCGACTTCTCGTACTACGTGCAAATGGATCGCTTGAGATTCTTGAGCAGCCGTCATGCGCCTCGGATCACCTGTACAAATTGACACCGTGGCAAGCGCCTCACCGGGGTCTCGACGGTGAGTACTGCCAGCCTTCGGCCGCCCAGTATCGGTTTAGACTAAAGTCCAGTCTCACTAACTACTCAGCAGAAGGTGCCTCCTACCACGACCTCATGCGCTTTGAGCCGTCACAGTGCACCCAGATGTATGGTCCCCTGCTCGTCGAGCAGGCGTTGGCCGATGTTCCCATTTTCGGGCCGGATAAAGCCAATGTGTCCTTCATGATCGAGAAGACGTTGCAGTCCCCTTCTTCAGAGGCGGACATCCAACTCGCAAGACCCTTGCATCCCGATCCATTGTTATCAACTCCCATGGGTGACCGGCCCATTGCTGAGCGTCTGCGAGTAACCAGGAAGACCCTGAGGCTCCATAACAAAACCAGACACAGCGAGGCGGGAGGGATGGAGACTGCGGTCGACGGCCTTAACGATCGGCTCCAGGACTCCTCCATTTCTCCAGACAGGCCGGCATCCTGCTCGCAAATGCACGAGGAACTTCTCTCAATTTTACCCCAAGCTGAGCAGCTTTCATCGGAAGTACAGTCCGATGTTGACCACGTGATGTTGCTGCGTGCTAAGGAGAGGTATCTCTTGGATCCTGTGAGGAATAGGAACGTAGTGTCGGATGACCTCTGGCTACGATACCTTTGGGATTGGGTTGCTGGTAATAAAAAAACACTCCTCCTGTCTTACCACAATGCTGTGCAGTCACTGACATTACCAATCAGGTGCCGAGGCCGCTGCTGAGGATAGCGGGATGAAGCTGAGCCCTTTGGACTTGAGCTACATGGGTGTTGCTACGATATGGGCAAATGATCTTGGTGAGTATAGAGTGCTGTATGAGTGGCAGAGAACGTTGCTTAACTTTGCCTTGCTCCTTAGGACGGCACCCGTGGACAAGGCTTCCCGATGGTGTACAGTCACCCGAAGCTATCATCTGGGAGAAATGCATCGGCAGCATTTGCAAGAAGCGACGCCTTCCGAAATACCAGGGCGTCCCGACCAAGCGCCCGTTTCATAGGCAGCTTTGTTTGGATATTTGTACGTGGGGTGATGCCACGAGGCACGAGGCGGACGAATCTGAACCGAAGGAGGCGGGCGACGACTATCCAGCGGCAAAGCACACGATGGAGACGGCAAGAGCCCTGTTCCGAGGTGACATGGATGCGGCAGTTCAGATCCTCAAGAAGGCCAGTACGACACATCCGGAACTCCTGTTCGTCTCCTTAGCCCTCCAACTCATCGGGCGGGGAAATAGACGGCTCGCGAAGGAGCAGCTCGATTTCGACGAAGCCGTGGCTTCCAAGACGGACCCGTACTTGAGGGCCATCTCGTCCCTCATCGCAACGGGGGACTGGACAGCTATTGCGAACCAGGCTTCGCTTCCGCTCTCGGATCGGGCTTACGTGGCCGTCCGGAACATGGATGACGAGCGCCTCACGCAGTGGATCCAGGAACAGGTTTCTGTGGCTATGAAAACGGGGGATATCGAGGGAATCGTCCTGACGGGAATCACCGACCAGATGGTGGATATTTTCGCCAACTACGTGGGCAAGTCCAACGACGTCCAGACGGCGACGCTGATCATGTCCATCTGCGCACCCCGGTATATCGATGACTACCGGTGTCTGGCGTGGCGAAACGCCTACCGCGCATATCTTCAGCGACACAAGGCCTTCTACTTGCGCACCAAGTTCGAGGTGGAGAGCACGAAGAGGAGCAAGCGCGACGGCCGGCCGACGATTAAGCCCCCTTCGCGACAGATCGCGCTACGGTGCGTCTACTGCGACGCCGAGACGACTTTGCCATCATCGCATACCGGATCCACGTCTGGGCACCCGCCCGGAGTGGGAGCGCCAGACACGCGGAACCCGCTCATGGTGACGGGGATCAACGCGGGGGTCAGTTGCCCCAACTGCGGGCGTCATCTGCCCCGCTGCGTGGTGTGCCTGGAGGTCGTGGGCATCCCGCGATCAGACCGGCCCGAAGCGGCGGCGGACATGGACACGCGCATGGCGGCGCGATTCCCGACGTTCTGCCTCAAGTGCGAACATGTCATGCATCTGGACCATGCGAGGCAGTGGTTTGCGAGACACGTGGAGTGTCCGGTTCCCGAGTGTCGATGCCAGTGCAATTTCAGGGCCAACCCGGAGCTGAATTACCACTGATGTCAATTGTTCTCGGGGAGGTTTTGGCAATACTGGCACTTTTCGTGCCGCTCCTTGGGCGTGGGTTTCTGGTTGTCTTTTATTTTCTCTTCTCTTTTTTCTTCTTTCTTCTTTCTTTTTTTTTTCTTTCTTTTATTTCTTTTCTGGCCATGTGCTGGCTCTGTTCAGAAGAGCGGAAGGAAGCCTTGCTAAGTGGAGGAATCGGCGTTGGGTGTACGTACCTGATGAATTGCTGGGATAACGCGTATGGTCTCATCGGAACAAGTCTATGAGACCAAGAGGTACGGCGGGCGTGGATGAGTTGCTCACCCTCCGGCATCCATTTCTGCTTCGTATTTTTATTTTCGTCTAGAGACCATAGGAAGTCGCGGCGACGAAGCAGAAGGAGCGAGGACTTAATTATTGCTTTGGCTCCGGGTACAATGAGACATATAATCAATCACAGGTAGCTCATGAGTTCATGCTCCAGTGTCTATAGGTGCGGTGCTGAAGAAATCTCTTGTTCCCTGGATATATCCGCGCGAGCCCTCCAGTAATATTAGTAATACGATTTGTATTGGTCGAACGGAAACATTGCAGTCTCATTTCGGTCATGGAGTTTATCCGTAAGCCGACGACCCACTCTTCTCAACTGAGGATTGACCGATCCAGTCAACTAAGAACCCACCTTCTGTTGTGGCTGGTTATGAACTCGTGACCGTAACGTCATCAGCCACTTGCGAACGTTCGTGAAACGCCATAATCGCCATGAGTTAATGGGCAAGATTGGAGCGCCGAGCACCGTGTTCAACTGCTGGAGGCCGTATCGGACCCAGCAAGAGTGAAGAATATCATGAGGACTGATGAGGAGGCTCAGTAAGTAGCCTCTTTGTCTTGGTTGATCTCGGAGAAGTGTATTGTGGAACTGGGGAAGCGCTGACTGTCGAATGAAACTAGGGCGAGATGGGCCGAGACTCTGAGACACATCGATAGCCTTTCGGGCCTGCAGCGAGCTGTCCGATACAATGGGCCTTCCAGTCCCTGTGTCGCCGGCAGTAGGTCCACGTGCTGGAAGGTATGGATGGCACTCAATTGACCTGCTCGAGTTTGGGGCTCCGTGACTGATGAGTTACCGTCAGATCTTCTTGCTCTTCCAAGATGTTCAGCCTTCCAGCTGGTCACGGATTCTGGCCGAGGCCAGACAAGATTACGCCCAGCACAGTGAATGCTTCCTGAGGTTCACTAGACACCCGGAGGAGCTGGCCAATGTGGCTATAGATCCCCTAGCGGACGATCCGGACGTAAGCCTCTCGTTGAAACCCCCTCCTCTTGCTCAAGCGTCAAGCCTCTCTTGATCAGCCCGACGTTTCGAGTTGCTCATCCCCTCTTAGTCTCCCTGGAATACGTTTCGTCAAGATGAGATGATCCGAGCCGAAATCTCCCAAGATGTCCAACGTCTGCCGGACTCACCGTTGTACCACGAAGAGAAGATTCAGACCATGATTGTGGACGTGCTCTTCGTCTACTGCAAGCTGCACCCTAACGCCGGTGGCTATCGCCAGGGCATGCACGAGCTTTTAGCTCCCGTTGTACATGTTTTGCACGAGGACGCCGTTGACCGGCGCAGTACTACCACCGACACGCAAGTCGACGCTATCCTACTGGACGTCTTCGATTCGGACTATATCGAGCACGACGCCTTCGCTCTCTTTTCCAAAATCATGGAAAGGGCCCAGGTCTTTTACGAGGTCAAAGATTCCATCACGAGGTCCGCATCGGCCTCGGCGTCTCGCGGGCAGGCCGAGACCTCTGCCATTGTAGAAAAGAGCAAGTTCATTCACGAGGATTGCTTGGCTCGGGTCGACCCGGAATTGGCTAGGCACCTCAAGGACGTTGAGGTCTTGCCACAGATTTTTCTCATGTAAGAAAAGGATCTCCTTTTTTTCTCGTCGGACGGTTCACGGTGCGTCGGTCTGAGCTCACCTAATATTTTCAGTCGTTGGATTCGCCTCCTATTCGGCCGGGAGTTCCCTTTCGACCAACTTCTTGTTTTATGGGATACCATATTCGCGATAGACCCGTCACTAGAATTGATAGACCTCATTTGTGTCGCCATGTTAATAAGGATTCGCTGGAAATGTCGGTCTGACCCTAGTTCTTCTCTTTCGACGATTGGCCTGACGAGCTAACGAGTGTGCAGTACTCGAAGCGGATTACTCCGTCTGTTTACAGCTTTTGCTGAAGTACCCACCGCCTGACGAGCATCACGGGCCGCACACCTTTGTGGACGACGCCGTCTACCTGAAAAGCCACCTGGATAGTTCAGGCGGAGCCTCACTTATCCTAAAGTACACGGGAACACTCCCTTCTGCCGTGGCATCTGGAAGCGGCTCCCGCCCGAGAACCCCAAGTCTTCGGAGCCAGTTGTCCCAACAGCGGCTCCGAGTTAGTCGCTCGCCACTGTCATCTCCGGGACGATTCATCCAGCAGCAAGGGGGGGTGGAGGCCATCTTCCAGGGAGCCGCCAAGAACGTGCTAGAACGTGGCGAGAAACTCGGCATCAACCAGGCGGTTCGGGACGCTATGGGAGAGATCAAGCGGAATGTGCAGAGCCTTAATGAGAGCCGCCACTCTCCGCGGGCCGTGAGGCAGGTCCTTGCGCAAGATTCTGTGACACGAGCCGTCGTTGCGCTAGAGAAGCGGAACAAACTGCTAGCGGGCATGCTGGACGATTCGATCTCGAGTCTCAAGTCGCTGGCGACGTCCGATCTAGAGGACAGGGCCAAGACGCGCCAACTCGTCGATGTTGCAGCGGCGAAGCTGCAGTTTGTCAAAATCCACCTAGAAGATTCGACCATCGATGTCCCCGATATTGAGAGCCTCCGGGCGGCAGAGGACGAGAAGACCGACACGGTCATGCGGGAGGCAGGTGACCAGAGGACTCAGACCAACGGAGACTCTGAGGCCGAGGCTGCAGCGGACGTTGTTTCCACTGTCGACCTTCAGGAGCGCGGAGCAGCCCTTAGGGTGCCGGCAGTCCAAACCACCACGACAACGTCACCGGGTTCTTCTATTATTGGTCCAATGGATATTTCAGAAGAGCGGACGCCTACCACGCCGGCAGTCGAAACCACGGATCATGGAACCGACAAGACTGGGGACGAAACGTTGCACCGGCCTCCTCCGATCCCTACACGGTCGACACTTGCCCAGTCTTCATTCTCGTGGATGTTAGAGCCAGACCAGACAGTGTCTCACCCAGGGGTAACATCGCAGATACCGTCCCGGTCTCCTGTTCGATTGCAGAAGACCATCAACAGCGCCGGACAACGGACGAAGCGGCCAGGGCACGGGAGCCGAGAACGAAACGCGTTCCTCTTTGGTGAGGTGACGGCCGAGTCAGATGGGGCCAGCGAGCCATCTACCAACGACATGTTTGGAATGGAAACCATCGCAGGGAAGCAGAAGAACAAGGACTATGGGTTGTGGTGAGCAGGTGTATATGACTAACTAGGTGCGAGTTTGTCCGAGATTGGTCTCGGTACTAAACTAGACTTTACGATAGAACTATGACGGCGACGATAATACGATGACGAAGTTTCAAGAACCAAAGCTCTTAGGAGCCAAACAAATGTTACGACTTTGGTTTCGGAGCTCCCTTATTCCTATCCCAGCGGACGGACTATGGAGATGACAGCAGCTAGCAATGGATTCTGAGTGTACGTCAAGGGAGGAATGCCTAGAAGACCGGGGCCGAGATGTTCGGCGCCGAGGATGAGAACCGGCCGAATTCTCGAATATGCTGTCGATCCCTTGGCTGAGAGGCTGCCTGCCTAGTGTGTTTGTCTGACGGCATCATGCCCAGGCTTCTGGTATCCAAGGGACCTGGATGCCGCTCAAGTTCACCCCCCTACGGTATGCTTCGTACAACGTACCATGCTCTCCTGCTATTCTGGTCTATTGCGGGACCCGGGTACATAGAAGCAACGACCGTTGGGAGGAAACAGGGATAGTACCTAACCTGTGGGCCGGTTGGCTGGCTCCGCACGAAGTAAAGAACAATCATTTCCGGGGTCTATTCAAGTTATGGGGCCAAATCTGTCACCGGTCTCCCCCATCTTCTATTCTCTGGGCGCGGCCGTGGCACAGTTCCTAGATGAAGAGAGCGGAAGGGGAGGCACTCGGACACAATGCCTCCCAGCGCTGTGCGACGTCGTTGAAGTTTGGCGCCTTTTCCATGCGTATTCAGCACTCAGGGGGGGCATCATTTGGCATCGCCACCGCCCAAGCGCTCGGATTGGAGCCAAGCAAGAAACGGCATTCATGCCGTTGGCTGCGCCGAGTATGATAGAGGCGGGGGATGAAGAGCCAGGGGGGGGATGGCCGCCCGCTTAACAGGTAATTGGGTTTGCCAGCGTGACTGTGCGCAACCGTGCAACGAAAACTTGTCGCACGGAGGAATCTCCAGCGAGGGGGTGTGCAGTGCAGGGAACATCGGTTCCAATTACAAGGTACGCTAATCCGTTTTCGTTTGAATGTAATTCTTTATTTGTACGAGTAATAACGGGGGGACTGCAGACTGCAGGATCTTCAACATTCCTTGTCAGACCCCCTTCCCTTCACTACGGCTCCTCGTTGCCATCATGCCGGATTTTAAATGGGGCTACCTAGTTTACCTAATTTCACAGCGCGTATAGATCCCATCGGACACGCTGATCCATCATCCTGCATTTGGATGACAAAACCAGAGGTCCATTGGAACGCGCCCCCCACCTCTTTGCGTGTGCTGGTCTACGGACGTATGATTCTCCCTCGCGACCTCTTCATACCATCGTGCCATTCTCTTGGGGGCTCCCAGGCGCCCTATATCGCCCAAAAGCAGACCGAGATAAGGCAGACAAAGCAAGTACGTTGTATGCAGGTCGGCATGCTGGCTGTTCTACTGTTGGTGTTTTATGGGCGCTTCGCCCGGCAGTGACCATGAATGAGTGGGAAGAGAAGACAGGTAGGTGTATGTGCGGTGCACAACATTTGATCCTCCAAAGTCTGTTATTATAGAACACCTTATTCCATTTCTTCAATGCTGGAGGGGCGTTGACAGCGCTTATGGCCTCCTGACGACGCGCCTAAGGGCAATGCCTCAGGGCTCAGGCCGCAGATATACTGGCCGCATTTCGTCCTCTCTCGCGACACCTGGCCTTACCGCCGGCGTCTCGGAGTCTCAGTCTCTCAGATGGTTCGTCCTCGCAACCCCAACGATAACAACAGCCTGGAGCTCTAAGAGGGACTCTGGGGACCCCAATGGCGATACCATCAACAACAGAGTTGCGCGTGCCTCGGACGCGTGGCCCTTGTACGGAGTACCGAGTACGCCGAGTTATCCACGTGGGTCCAAGCGAATGTTTGTGTCTCTCTATTCCGTGCGTTGCACATCGTTACATTGTTGAGACAGGGGGATGAACCACAGGGGTAGATGAAGAGGTTCTTGCGCCTGGGAATGCCCAGCCCTCGGCAGCCCTTCCCTGAAGGCCCTTGCTCTCCGAGGTGTTGGCCCAGCACTTGGCGATATACCTGTCGACTAGGAACTGGTTCCGCGCTCTCCTTGGATATCTCGAGGCACCGCACCCAAAGCCACGGTACCGTTATACATCCTCTGAGATGGACTTCCTCTGGTTGGCAACACGCCATCCACCTTGTTTCCTGAACCCCTTCTCTCATCATTGGCAGTTGTTGCTCAAACAATGGGGGGCATAGGTCGCATGAGAAGGCGATTCAGCCTCCACGGGGCGCTTGCTGGGCGGTACGGAGAAAAAACGAATCGCTGGAACTGGCCACCGGCAACCTGGGTACACACCCCCTGGTTTCTTCAACGATCAACATACAACGTACCTACCGACTAACAGCACACTGGGTCGACCTGGGAAGACTGGACCCACGATTGCTTCTTGGGTTGAGCCGAGGTCTCAATGCAGATGGGGGAGGTCAGGTGGTAATAATAATTACGGTACTTCGCCCCAGGCTCATTCTTCGGACTGGGTCGTCCCAACTGTCCGTGACCTCAAAATATTCTGCATATAACAACAACAGCAACAACAACAACAACAACAGCAACAACAACAACAACAACAACAACAACCACGATATCTACTCCGTAGCCATGTCGGGCCATGTGTGGTCCCCGTCGCCCGTTCTCCGGGACAGGACTGAATGTTGGACGGATCCTTACCCCCGGGCCCTTCCCAAGTTCGCATTACGAATCAGTTGTCCTGGGCCAGCCACCACGAACCCAAATAAGTGGAGGGGGAGTCAAATACAAACCAACAATTGCAGGCACTGTCACCACGGGCCCCAACGCTCTGGAGATCCCCGGTCCAAGTTTGTCGTGAAGACAGGAAAGACAGGGATACCGATTCGTCAAAGGTGGCCCCGTGACAATCAATCATGGACCAGGGATAGTGTTAGTTAGTGGGAGGAGAAAGAGGTAGATACACGAGATGAGGAGGCGAGGCAGTGATGAAGGCATACGGGGGAACGGTGCCCCACGCTCACAATTCCAACAGCCCCAACGAGGGCGGCACCACTTAGTACTCACGTTGTAGTATTCTATTCTGTTTCTGTGTCTCTAGCGACGCCATTGGATTCTTCTTCTCTCCTCCCCCCCGCCCCCCCCCCCTTCCGAGGAGACAACACGATGACGCCATCCCCCAAGCGTATAGTCCTACTTCCCTCGCTAGAGCCTTTGTCATTCATTCATAACACCCGCGAGTTAAACTAGAGGCGTTCTAGTTCCAGCCGGTCAACAAGCCACCGATCGAAACGCGACGACGCGAGGCTTTAGTAGCTAGCCACGGGCCGCTAGGGGAAACGGAAAGGGCGAGCCCTAAAGAGAACGGGGAGGGGGAATATGGGCTTGAGTCGCTTAACTCTCCCGCGCGCGTGAACCTCACGTTTTCTACATCGTTTTCTCACCGGAAGAATGTGGGGGGGGAGGGCGGGGGAACGACGGACTGGTACGGAAAACCCGGAAAGGTCGGGAAATAACGAGAGGGTAGGAAAAAGGACAAAGAAATGCCGCTCCTTGGCGAGCCACTTACCTGCATAGGGAAGTTAGCAAGTGAAGGAGTGAAGGCAAACTGGGTCGTTGAGCCGGTGGGAAAACTAACTCGCTGCTTCTATCTTAGTTACCGTTTCCTCCCAGATCGATCTACGCAGCTTTGTGGACCAATAGGCCGCCACGTACGACGAAGTGACGCTCCCAGGGGGTGAAGTTAGTGCGGCGGAGGAAGGCAGAAGTTGAATGAGAGATCCCGTACAACGTACAACGTACAGCTAGCAGATCGACGAGTGGAACATACGGAGTAGACGTGAGGCGTGGGGTGCTAGTGTCTGGCGTGCATGATGTCTTGACAGTATCATCTTTATCGTCTCATACGGAATACGTCCACGCTTCTGTTCTCAAAGACATGTCCGGATCCGCATGCGGCCTTGAGAGCCGACGGAACACTGGATGGTAAAGCAGTAGAGGTCTAATTCCTAGTGCCATGCTATTCATCGTTGATATGCAAGGGTACGAGTGTTGTAACACCTTTCCTCACACGACTTTCGGCGAGATCAAGACAAACCCCAAGACGGATTTTTAGAAACGTATGTAACATGAGTAAAATAATTATACACAGTCCAGGTCCAAAAGCCGCCATCGGGCTTCCATCGAGGCTCCAATGCCCCGGAGAATATGTAAAAGAACAACCGACTCTGACAGAACCCCCAAGTCGTGGGTGTGTGGTCGAGTTGACCCCCCCCCCCCCTTTTTTTTTTTTTTTTCTTCCGCCTCTGCCCCCTTGTCGGCCCAACTCGACCCCTTTTCTTCTCGCAAATGCTGCAAGTCCGGACTCCGAAGTCTCGCCAACTGTTCAATTCCATTTCAGTACAGGTCCCATGATCCCATGTTATTCGTGTGTAGCCATTCCCGAGGCCCCATGTCCTCCATTCCACTTCATTAACAGTAGAATCGTATACCATCAGAATTGCATAGACAAGTGCAGAATCAGACAGCCCAACGCCCAGACCTCCATCCATCCAAAAACAGAAATATAGTGGCGCCGAACGCACAAAGGAGGAGTGACTCGGTGACAAAGGAAATGAGAAGGAAAGAAACAAAAGAACGAAAGGGACGACAATAGAAGAACGCCAGTGTACAGTGGCCGAGGCCCAGTAGAGGGCTTTCTCGACTCGTAGAATCACAAATGACCAAACCCACTTTGTGTCGTACAGACCACACAACCCCTTCCTCCCTTCCTCCCACTTCACACAAAGTTGTCTACCACCGCCTCTTTTTCTCTGTTTGGTCTTCACCCCCACCTTGCACATGTTCCCTTGCGGGACGTAGAATGTAGAAACCCACTGATGGGAAGGATAGGGAGAAACCAGAGATGATGAAACCAGAAGGAGAAGAGGGTAAAATCTCCTTCGGCCCAAGAAGTCATTCTGTGGATGAAGGGAGGAAGAACCCTGCAGGGCTGGTTACTTCGAAAAGGCCATGCTGGCCATGCTAGCGACTGTAGAGGTCAGGTGCATGGGTGATGCGTCTGAACCCTCGTTGGCTGCTGAGCGCAATTCGGCCTCCATTCTCTTCAACTTTGCTTCATCAAGTTGAGCCTGGCGAAGATGAGCTGAAAGGAATTCCAAGTTAGCATTAGACTATCATGAGAGAGAGAGAGAGAGAGAGAAGCACCGTACCAATTCTCCACATCTTGCGCTTGTGCTCGCTACTCACCCACGAATACCGAACAGCCCTCTCGGGGTGAGTGGCGAGCAAGCCGATGGCCTTGACAGAGTGCAGCTTCCCCTTGGCTTCCCTCACCGGGACCTCAATCGTCTTGACCTCCCCGGCCGAATCGAAGACGAGTAGCCCATCCCGGTCGGTGACGGGGATCTTCTTGTTCTCCCTGTAGTAGGCGCTCTGCAGACCGCCGTTCCGCCGGTGCGGCCCCTTGAATTGCCGGTTGAACTCGCGGACCACGTCGTCCCACGGTGTCTCCCGGTCTTGCCTGTCGATTCGCCAGTAATCGATAAAGTCCTTCTGCTCGATGGTGTACTTGACGTTGCACCGGGTTCCACGGACAGGCGGGTTCCGCTTGGGCCGGACCCGAATCGGCCTAAGAGTACTTTCAGCGGGGGCCGGTAGCGGAGGCGGGACGTGCTGGTGGTGGTGGTGGTGGTGGTGGTGGTGGTGGTGGTGGTCCTGGTCCTGGTGATGTTGGTGATTCTGATGGTGCTGGTAATGGTACGCTTGCTTCTGGGAGGGTCGAGGGAGCTGCGGCTGAGACTGCGACTGAGACTGAGACTGAGACTGCGACTGCGACTGCGACTGGCCCAAATCTGTGCGCCTGCCAAAGTTGCTGTTTCTGGTGCCCTCCCTAGTAGAATTGGCGTAGTAGTGCGAAGCTAGAGTCTCTATCGTGATCGAATCTAGCTCTGGGAGCCGTGGTAATGACAGTACCCGGTTACCGTTAGTACGGGGGGCGGTGTTGTCGTTGTCGTTGTGGCTGTAGTTGTAGTTGCTGCTGCTGCTGCTGCTGCTGCTTCCTTCGCTAGATAAAGACAGAGAGGAAGAGTGCAAGAAAGAGCTCGACGAGGAGCACTGAGTAGCGGGAGACGCCCATCCCGACAACGCCTCTGGGGAAGGAGATGGGTTGTCTATTCTGGGGGAGTCAGAGAAGCCTTGAGAGGATTTATTCGTGGTCAGTTTTGTCTATATATGGACAAGTCAAATCAAAGGCTTTGAAAAGGGTTCTCACGGCGTGATGACAGCGAACTCTGGCTGAAGGTCGGAGACTCGGTCAGTACCGTAGGCTGAGTGGCATTCCTATTGCGCCTGGTGGTTACAGCAGTCGCGGTTTCTTCGTCGGGCCCGCGAGCCGGGTTCTGAGGCTTCTGATCGTGTCGATGGCGATGGCTCATGTCGACTTCCGCCATATCCCTGTTACTCTGGTAGTTTCCCGGATAGCCCCAGATGATTTTGGCAGAGTCGGGTGGGTTGGGACGGCGAGGTGCAGATGCGGGCAATGGACCTATGTTGAACTGCGGGTCTCGCAAGTTTGATAATCGCCGTTCGGGAGGGGGGCACGGTCGTGTCGACATGAGAGAGGAGAGGAGGAGAAAGGCCGAAAGTTGACGAAGAACACAGAATCGAATACAGCAAAGCGTCAAAGGGATGAAGTTGAAGAGAAGAGGTCCGGTCAGGGTTGTTGAAGAAGTCTTCTAAGCACCTAACCGTGCTGATATTGTCCGGTGGAGGCAGATTCTGGAGTTGTACAGCGTCTTGGGGACCCAAAGCGGGTGTCGGGAGGGTCGGGGGCGTCTGAGGTCCAGGGACCCAGGTATTTGTATGATAGGTAATATAGTAGCAGGGCCACAAACAACTTACATAGGTATACTTCCGTAACAATAGGTCATCCCATCCCCAGACCTACCCGGAGACTCGACGACGGGGCCCCTCACCCTACCTAGGTATGATTTCCGTAGATCGTCTTTCCGGAGGATGTACATGTGGAGGGCCACTCGGACAGGGCCGTTTCTTATTCTTTGGGACAACTGCTAGTTCTGCAGACGCCGCCGGTCGATCCAGGTTTTGGCAAGACAACTCGTGCATTTTTATCGCGACACCCCCGTTTCCCTCCTCAAACTAACCACCTTATCCACCTCCATAGCTCAGCTCATGGAGACAGAGTAGGAAACGACGATAACTGAACCCTCGAGACCTATCTTCGTCCTTTGTCTTGCCTGTGGATCGTCGCATTACCATACCTAAGGTAGAGATGTTGGAGCTTTTCGGGTCATCAAGGGTTCTTTCTAGTGGCGCAGACTATAGAGAGAGCGTGATAGAGACAGAGAAGAAGCGAGAGCAAGAGAGGAAAGAGATGGATCCAGACTTGAGGTGCGTTCACCAGGCAGAGACTGCGCCCGCGGCTAAGCATGCAGTCATAATGCAAGGGATGGTCCGATGGAAAACGTATCCAGATAGAGCAGAGATGCAGAGAGATACTCTCCTGGCACTCCAAGTAATGGAGAACCGAGTCGATGTTTCTTTCTCTAGCACACTAGTGTCAGGTACGTTGTACATGGAGAGTACAGGGTATGGATCCGTGCCTTACCTTAGGTATGCGAGCGTACAACGTTTGTACTTGAGGGGCGACGAGGAAGTGAACTTGGTCAAGGATGATTGAAGAACCTTTCTGGCACTGTGTGTGCGTGGGTGTGTGCCCTCGGACCTTGGTAGAGGGGTGTGGGTGGAGGAGGAGAGGAATTGGAAAGAGGGACCAGACGGAGAGGACAAAAAATAGGAGTACACTGTACCTTGAGGTAGACGCTTTGTGAGATGCATGAACCAACCTCACAGCGCAATTGGTCGTATTCTTGACTTGGGGGGGGGAGAAGGAGGGGCAACGCCGGGCGCTCGTTCTGACCAGGTATATTCGACACCAGACCTGAGGACCTATAGGAAATGGGTGTCCGTTCGCAACCATTAGCCAAGCAGCTGTATCATGTATGTTTGCCTGTCCATATTTCATTTACCTATTTTCTTTTTTTCCTTTTCACGGCAATTAAGCCTTCTTCCTCGGCCGACGGTGCGAGTCCAGGACAGAAACGAGAACTGGGTAGGTAGGTGAAAGACGCTATGAGGTTATTCCTAACGAGGCATGCCGCGGAAAGAAAACGAGTCTTCAAGTTGGTTCCATCGTGGTACCTCGTATCCCGTATTGTCCATTCCGTCTTTATGTTTATGTTTCGAAGTCATTTCCAATGCGTTTGGATAGAGTGTCGATCCATTTGAGGCAGCTTTCTCGGCCGTATGTACAGCCGCGTTGCCGCGTCCGAAAACCTTGCCTTATGCCCGATACCCGACTAGGTATCTGTCCGATAGATAAGCCGGATGTGGAACAGATGATGAGAACATGGGGCATACGATATGTCTATGTCTGATGAGAGACAGGCATGTGGGAGACCAGGGTGGGAGACGGAGCTACGGGACCGGGACCGGGACAGAGTTAGTCCGCGAACTGGTCCGTGCCGACGCTTCATGAGAAGAAGAAACCGTCGCTTCAATCATGTTTCCACTGATGTACGAAGTAGGTATTCTTATTGCTGTATCTTGCCATGATTGCGGAGTATGGAGCACGGACTATCGATTAATTACGGTCCCTACCTTATAATTACAGAATCAGCTGAAGGAGGCTGGAAGTCGCCTTATACGTACGTCCGTCAGAAGTGTCTATCACGTAATTATGTGGCCCCCTTTCCTCAGTCCCAAAGTGGTCAAGAGCCGACTTGGCATTATCAACGTCGCTTCGACTGTCGTTTCTTTTGCCGCTGAATCAAGTCCTCCCTGTTCCTGCACAAAGTACGAGTACGAAGAAATGAAGAGAGAGAAGAGGGCGTTTTTCGGGTTTCGCTAACGTCTCTTCAACCATAATCAATCCATTAAACCCCCCACTTAGATGCTGACTGACCAGATGTTTCCTCCGCAACGTCCAAGTCCGGCCAGAAGCCCCCAAGTAGTGAAGCTTTTTGTTGGGCCGCTTGGGCTTGGTATGCACGACATTCCCCGCCCACCCGCTTCGTCTTCGCTTTTTTTTTATCCCTTCAACGGCGAAAAGAAGAATAAGAAAAGAAAGAAAAAGAGGTTGGGAGAGGGGGCGGTTGGCCAGGCTATGTTCCGCAAGCCATCTTCTTATCGATCTCCCACTCACTGCTTGACTCTATGTACTAAACAGCCGGGCCGGTTAGCACCCAGCCTAGCGACGGGTGTTGCTAGTTTATTTCGACGTCTGACAGAGGAGACGCCGGTTTCCTTGGTAAATCCGATGTCCGAGGTACGTGGAGGTTAAGGTCGCATGTCATAGAGATCGTGCGGAAGCCCGGTACCAAGGGGAGCCGTCCGCCGGGGTTGTACAAAGTACGAAGTATACCGTTGAAACGACTCGCAAAGTCAAGGCACCCGCACACTGACTGACGATACTATCAGTCTGACCAGACCAATGCAGGGGAAAATCATAGTCTCAGAACAAGATTGGAGCCCGGCAAGTTCCTTGCCTTGCAAATTTCGAAAGATGTCTCTGTTCCCCTGAAAGAGCGAAGAAGCCGGCGGACTCTCTGCACCTAGGGGTTCCTTTCCAACCATCCGTCCGTAGAGACACAGAATACTTACTGCTCACTGCAAGTGGGAAGCGGATCGAGGACTTGGTTGTGGAACTGTTGTTTCTTCTTCTGGTTCGACATCAAGGGGGGAACGAGAAAGATGTGCGGCCGCATCATGCAAGCCCGCTTCGTAACTTGCCGCAGGAGCTGAGCTGTAAGCTGTAATCATCGTTGTCTGCGTCCTGCAACATCTAAGATTGCTCCGCCGAAGGTGAGTCAACTCTGAACGTACCAACTTCTCCCTGCTTCGAGATGTAGTGAATTAATTGCCTTGCGTGGAGGTCCAACGGGGGCTCCATAAATTCTGCCCACCGGGGCCATAAGGTGAATACGGAGTATAAGATGTCTTGTACGGAGTAATTAGTAGACTCGTAGTAGGCTGCGTGGGATAGCTCTGTTCACGAACTAGGGTAGGGCGGGGAAGGCTAGGCACAGGGGTTGTTGGGGAGAATGACGTAGGTAGTTCGGAAGGATACGAACGGATCGATCTCTCCGGCCCGGGGTAAGGAGGGGATACTCCGTACTTCGTAACTTGATCTGCGGTGCTTCACAAGAAGCAATGTTTATATCGTATTATCTTTTCGGGGGGGTTTCCTTCCTTGATTGTTCTACGCAAAAGGGGCGGGGGGTTTTTTTTTTTTTATATAACTCCAGTTGTTGCCAGCACACTAGGGGAAGTAGGGAAGATGGAAAAAGAAACATTTCCAAGACACCTCGATGCAACTTACCGACCGAGGACTAGTGAAGAAACTAGGATCAGGGGAGAATGAGATGAACTGGCGATGTCTATTTGAGTCAAGGGAGGGATGAAGAGACCCAATAGCTTCATTAGATTGGTCTCTGTATGAGAACGACCATGGTTTGGTCAAAGCTGTAAGGTGCAGCGACGCGCTTCTCGTCTATTACTCTCTAGTCGTCGTCTCTGGAGTACGAGCGAGTGCTCGGCCATGGCTTGGATATCCCGCCTGTGCATCTGCATCTGCATCTGCATCTGCCTCTTTTCACGTCCGGCGACGCACGCATCCACGAAGCAAGGCTCGCCTCGGGGAATGGCCAAGCATACGAGGTGCGTGCTTCGTAAGTCCAGTAACACAACTATACGGGGCCGACTGACGCAGATCGCAGACCGGACTTGCCAGGACACGCTAAAAGGTTTTAAAGATGATGCCCACCCGCAGCGGCATTGCCATCTCGCGGGGCTCTGGGCTGCTGCCGATCCTGAGCCCCACGCTGCCTGCCCTCGACGACGACGCCTAGGGCAATGCCGGCGTCGGCTTGCGACGACGGATTGGCCGCGGGAAATGACTCGTCGCCTGAAAAGCGCCTGTACCTTGCGTTAGCTGCTGTACTCCATAGTGTCGGAGCGAACTTGACATCGTCGCTCGAGTGCACGGCCCGAGAGGGGGGCAGGGGGAAGCAAAACGCGCAGTCCTCGGTGTGCCGAGAGGGCGAGAAAATGTAGAGTCGTACCAGCCTCTCTCTTCTCCTCCACTCAAAAAGCTGCAGTCGCTGTTGGCTTCACACGTCCAGCCTCCCCGGACGCCTGTACCAAGTTTCCATGATTCAGAATCTGTGCCTAGAACAAACCGAAAAGAGGGGAAGCGAGAAGTTATGTTAGCCTTAGTTGGTCAATATGGACATGCCGGTTGGAAGATCCGGTCATGATGGGGGCTCAAAAGAGGCTTTGGTCTCTTGCCAACCGTACCCTGCCTGCTGGCGTTTTGTGCCTCCGCCTCAGAAAGGTCTGGGTTTCGTTTTCTGCGGAAAACACCAAGACCACAGGTGAACGCATCGAAATCGTGCGTCTCTGGATTCTCTGGGACTTGGCCGGTGAGAACTCTGGACAGAGCAATGATCGGGGCAGCGTGTGAGCAGAGAATGACGGCACGCCTGCCCTCGGCATCGCACTGATCGATGATGGCCGCGGCCGCTTTGGCCACGCGTTGATAAAGCTCCTGGATCGTCTCGCCCTTGCGGGCGGGTACCACCTCGGACTGATACTTCTCATCATAATGGGGGAACATAGACTTCAAGACGGGACCCGGAGCAGGAGTCGGGTGCTCGAAGTGGGCAGCGCCGTACCACTCGGAAATGCCAAGCTCTGGACGAATCGTAGTGACGGCAGATTGCGGCGTATCCTGATCACGAGAGGCACCCGTCCCCCGTTGCTGTTGCAGGGATTGGTGCTCCTGAGCCTTGCGCTCAACAAAGGGGCTGATCGTCTGCAGACAACGGTAGTAAGGACTAGAGTAAACGGCCTCGATAGCGGGATCGACCGTCAAGAGATGAGCGGCGAGTTCATTAGCCTGGTCGACCCCGTGGGCGGTCAGGGCCGGGTCGGCCGAGATGCCGGTCGGTGAGGGAACGGAGGAGCTATAGTTGCCGGTTACGTGGTCGACGAGCCAGTTGGAACGGAACTGCATTCAAGGGCCAATACATAGGTTAGACATCAAGATAGACGTTCCGATGACAGCTCCCGTCCTCAACCCCCTTTCTCCGCCTATATTCTGACGCAATTTTCACCGGTCTTTTGAACAATAGGCGAAGGGCCAGGGGCGAAGACCAAAGACCACAGAGCAAAAGGACAAAAGCGAGCAAGAAACGGAAACGGGACCCCAGTAAATGGAGTCCTTGTCCTCGTTCATGGCCGTGACTCACCCCGTGGCGAACAAGGTAGATAACCTCGAGAGACATTTTCACTCGGTCCTTTTGGAGCAAGTGAATTGCAGAGATCCGAGCAGCTTGAGTTGCCCTGCACCGTGTCGCCGTTCTCTCTTCGGAAATTGAATCTGAAAAGCTCAAGAACCCGCCGGGGTACTTCGCCTTCGGGTATCAAGAGTTGGTGTTGAGGCGGGGCACTTATAGCAGTAAATTAGTGGACGCACTATGCCAAGTGTATAAGGTAAAGGTAAGGTAGGTACGACATTACACTACCAGCCTACGGAGTAGGTGTCCAGATCGAGTCCCGGCAGGCAAAGACTAATTACGACGGATATAGAATCCAGGAACCAGACAAGGAGTGAATCAGATGAAGAAGGTTTTATCCGTAAGGTACGCAATGCGATTCGTACAGTGAGTGGCCTGACACAAGGACCGAAGCAGTTTACATAATCATAATTTTGCCAAGAGCGCTTCGGTCGTCGTATGTCCCTGGGTCGACTCAAACTACTTTCGGATTAGATAATCCACTATATCTCCACCACCCGAATTAGGTGGGGTTTCCTAGGTCTCTTAAAGTGCCTCTATATTAACTGAACGCAGTAATATATCACGGAAGGGTTAGGGCTAAGGCTCCTTTATCGTAGAGGCCTTCTTCGTAGAGGCCTTCTTTATAAAGGCCTTTACAGAGTCCTTATACATATTCTATCTACTTATATTAGGGTACCTAGGAAACCTACCTATTTTCGGGTGGTGGAGATATAATGGATTTTTAATCCAGAAAGAGTTTAAGTCGACCCGGAGGACCAGACAGGGGGTGGCGGAGGACCAGCACTCCCTTAATAAGTACCTTAGCCAATAAGTGCCTGTTTCGTACCTCGGTCAGTTATTGGACAATACCATCAATCCGTGTGCGCAGAGAGACAACGACTTTGGTTGAGTAGCGGTTATCCAACGTTTTATTCTGTCGTGATGGATACGCCTTCATACGATACTACGGGACATGGTTCAAACTTCTACACCTATACGAGATCCACGGACAGAAATCCGGTTGCAAGGAGTTCTCTTCTCCGTTAGCTAAGCTTCCTCGTCGTGTCTTTGGAAGTAGGACATAGATCTTTTAACCCTCCCGGGCCCCTTTTGCTGCCACTATTCGTCCATCTTTTATATAAGGTAGGATAGAGTGAATATATTATTGCCTTTGTTGTCTACAGGTAGGTACACTCCGTAGTATAGCAGACACTGGCATCTCTCTCATCAACATGTCTAATATGAGCGTCATCTCGCTGCCTGTAAAATGTGTACCCAGGGTATCGTCGTGAGAAAATGCGCGCGTTATCTCCTCCATCCCCAACAGCGCTCCGACGGAACCCCCGACAATCCATCCAGGGGGTTTATTTTATTGCCCTCGCCGTGTACCAAAACATCATGCGTCGTGGCCAAAAATCCTCAATGCCCGCGTCCTTGCTCCAATTTCCAAACCCACGTATCCACCCCGTTGTCCTCCTTTCATAGATCCTGCGCCGGGGAACGCTACCCTGGCCTGCCTGTGCATGAGCACAGCTTACTCGGCGTCGATGGCTTGGCACCACGGGTGCTCCAGTACTTGCTCTATGTTGTATCGCTGCGACACGTCTCGGTTGAGCATGCATCGTATCAAATCAATGCTCTCGTCGCTGATCGTAAATGGGACCCGCAGGTCCCTGTCCATGATCTCGTCAATGCTGTAGAACGGGTTCTCCTTGTAGATGATCGTATATAGCAAGATGCCTAGTGCCCATACGTCTTGTTCTTTCCCGCCGTACGGCTTGCCAGCCAGCACCTCAGGAGCTGCATAATCTGTTGTGTTGTAAGTTGTAAAAAGCTTTGCGTTAGCGAGTGTCACACGACCCTGGCCACGGTGGCATGGCATGGTATGGGATAGGCTGTGTTGTGACTTATATAACTTACCAATCGTGCCCACAAAGACATCAAACGGGCCGTTCTTGATGTACGCCGCGCTTCCAAAATCGATAAGCTTGATCCGACCTTCGCCGTCCAGGATCACGTTCTCATCCTTGATGTCTCGATGCACCACCAATGCCTTGGTGTGCAGGTGGTGGATGGCCCGCGCCACCTGCACGAATATGCTCCGGCATTCGTCTTCCTCCATGTTGCTCCGCAGTTCGATGTAATCGAACAGATCCATCCCAGGCATACCATGGGGGCCCATCTCGATATAGTAGTTGACGTCGTCTTCGAAAAAGCCCTCCATCTCCACGATATTGGGGTGGAGCAGCTCAGGCCGTCTCAGGTAGTCCAGCACATGGATTTCCAGGGGCACGGTGCCCAACTTCCGGTCTCTCGTCCATGTGTCCACTAAGATCCGTCGTTTTGTGACATATTTGAGCACCACCTTCTTCTGGGTCGGCTTGTATTTAGCCAGTTTGACTTGTCCATATGCTCCTTGACCCATGTCTTCGAGGATCTGGTAGTCATCGATCGTCTTCTTCTTAGTCGGAGCGGTCGCCTGTGGTGCGGCACGGGGCTTTTCTTCTTTCTGAGGCGCCTTGGACCCCGCGGTCATCTTGGCAGCAACATTCATTACATGCTTCAGTTGGCGGCCCAAGGCTGCAGCAGCCCCCGTCGCCGGCTGCTCTTTCCGGGTATCTTCCGAGTCCGAGTTCATGTCCATGGGCGTATGAGCCGCGGTTTGGCCCGGGGATGGCTGACGCAAAGGTGTAGACGTCCCCGACCGTGCCGGCGATGCAGTATTCAGCTGAGATCTCGAGGCGTGCAAATGGCGTGAATACGTAATCCATAATGCGTACAGCATTTCGCTATGAGCCACTGAGCGAGTTCGTGCTTGCGCCCCGGGCTCGTCGCGGCCATCTTCTTCGTCGCTCGTCTCAACCTCCTTCTCCGAAATGACGCTGGGTTGTGTTTCGCTCTGTACGACCCGCATTTGAACATCAATAGTGAGCTCAGAGCCATCACGATGCTTCGCGCGAAGACCATCTGTCCGTAGGAAGGCAGTTGCCGCATCCGGCCTGCCTTGTCGTAGTGCAAGGAACGCAGATGCCCTTCGGAAGCTATGTTCAGGCACGACAATCCCGTCGACGAGCTGAATTCCGTCCTCTTCCGTCAATAGGCGGAGAAGGCGGTCAAAATCAGGCAGCAGCGAGTTGACTGACAGCCCATCCGGCTTCTCGTAGCCGAACAATGACCCGGAAAAAGCCGAGTTGAAGCTCTTAATCTTCAACGTTGCAGGGTCGACCACGATGATGCCCGCAATGTGCGGGAAGCTGGATACCCGCAGCTCGGGTTTGCCCCAGACCTGCTCCACCGTACAAGGGATGTTGACCTGGTGTGAGTTGGGGCAAGTGAAAAATCGTCGGTTGTTCACCTGGGCGAAGTCGACCTCTCCCGTACGTGGGTCAATGCCTTGGCGAGGGATCCGCGGTACGAGCTGCCCAATGTCCGAGCCCGGTTGGACCGATTCAAGTCCCCAGATGGGCTTCGTTTCCCCCAAAACGTTTCGTACGAGACCATCTTCATCCACGGAGACTATGACGACATCCTCGTGAATCTCTTCCAGAACCCAGATCAAGCCGATCCGTTTTTCCTTCACCCAGAGACTGGCCGATCCTGTTGCACCGTTTCGCTTTTGAATTGGGACGACGTCACCGCAGAGGAGAACTCCTCTAGAGCGGCTGTTCCGGTGTCTGGAACCTGGGCTCATTTTAGGCGGATTTGGATCTCCGCTGTGCACCGTCTGAGCTTTGCGGGGAGGTGCTTTCGACGAGCTCGCTCTCGAATTCGGTTTGCTGAGCAGCTTGGCGGTGATACCACCACTGCGTGCCCCCAGAAGCGTAGAGGAAACGGCGGAGGAGACGGTAGTTGCGCCTTCCGGTGGTGACAAGTCTTCGGTGCTTCGGGCAGCGGAGATCGGGTCCAGGTGTAGCAAACGCTGTTCAAGCCATGCTCTCCTCTCTTCTTGCACCACTTCTAGAATGCCCATTTTGCGAACTTCAGCTTTCGTGACGCCGAATACAAGGCACGCAAGATCGTTAGCAGCAAGGATCGTCCAAGGCGGGTGGGCTTCGGTCGTGAAGATGGCTTGAGCGGCGGGGGCCCATCTGGTCGAATGGCCGTGGACAACCGAACCGAGTGCGCTGGGAAAGTTTCCAGTGGCGAACGCTTGAGAGGCAGTGGGTGACATAATCTGCTCTTGATACCCCGGCTGGCCGGCAACAAACGGCAGGGCCATAGTGTCTATAAGCTTTTGGTGTACCGCCACAGGGAGCGTGTCCGTCAAGGTTCGTTTTAGGCTCCCGCGACGAGAGAGCGGCGGTGACGTCTTCGTAGTAGTCCCGCTTTCGTTGGTCGAAGTCCTGCTGGAGTTCTCCGATTCTTGCTCCTCCGCAACGAGCTTAGACGCAGCATCCTGGGGCTTCCGTACGTGCGCTTGGTCCTGACGAGGAGGGGCCTGCGGTTGTTGAAAGCGTTGGTCGGTGGCCGCAGATGATGTCACAGGCGACGAGATGGGCTCCGGGCTTTCGCTCCTTGGCATGGGCTTGAACTTCTCCTCGAAGACATTTTTACCAGAGACATCGGCTGGTCCAGTCAAGGGACCAGTGACGAGCGGATCGGGGTTGGGAAGATTTCCAGCGCCGACCAACTGGGCTCGGGCTAATAGGGCCAACATATTCTGGGTCTCTACATCGCCAGTAACGCGGGCCTCGGCACTGGCCAGTGCGGCGGTGGAAGAGGTAGCAGATCTCCCCAGCCGGTCCTTCATGAATTCTATAGACCGTTTAAGGACATTTTGCCTGTTGTGGATAAATTCTTCCGACTGATGGGCGAAGGAGAACGAGTGTAGCGACTCGGATGGGAAACGAGAAAGATCTTCAGAGAAGTTGGGAGAAGAAGGCCCTGCGGAGAACGGCATGGACGGGGGTTGCGAAAGGTTGAGAGTCATCGACGTCGATCTGGACAGTCCAACGGAGGGGCTCCTAGACGGTGGTTTCGAGGAGGACAAAGGGAGGGCTCGCACATGAGGCTGCTGTCGAATACGGCGCAGGCCAGAGAGACCAAGACCATGGTCATGCTCGGTTACGATGGGGGCCCTGTAGGATAACAGGACGTTAGCAAAGAGTTTGTCATGGCCCACGCGCGAGGACGCCAAATGAGGTGCTACCGGGGATACACTTGCATCTCCCACCTCTCAACATCAAGAACGGGAATCCCGGATACCAGTGCGGTGCTCAAATACACGCCACTGCATGCTTGTGGCCGAGACAAATGTCCGTTTGTCCGTTGCCCTGTCTTCTCTCTTTCCCTTCTCTCTCTCTCTCTCCCTCTTTTTATTTCTTTCCTTTATTTCTTTTCTTTTCTTTCCACTTTCTAGGGCTTGCTCTGGGGTAGATTGTCGTTTCGCTTCCTTGTCTCCCGTGTTTGATGTTTACGACTCTGCAACCAGCAAGCAATTCCGGTCTCCCTTTATCGCCCAAAATATTCAAATCCATGGTATAACGCGAGTAGTAGATTCAATGGGCGTGACCAACCTTGCCATGGATTCGTATTCCGCCGCTGCGAGTGTGCTCGCGTCTATGGATTGTCTAGCTCGAGCGCGGTCAAACCGTTCAGTCGCAGGGCTTATGGTGAGGTTTCCGGTGCTCCGATTCTTGGGTAGTTGAAGCGGGGGTACGAGGTCATAACGGCGATCTCTGGCCTCTTCGTTGCTTGGTTCGGCGCCTGTGTGCACGGCGATGCAGTGTGAGATAAAAGGAAAATAAAGCATGCAAGGAAACCAAGCACCAAAGATGGACTGGGCAAGAATGAAAGGGAAGCATGGGAAAAGCGACCATAAGACCTGAAAGGGAGTGGACTCACCATTGTCATTAGGCCCCCCAGGCGTCTGTATCATACTTGAAGGGGTCGTCAGCCGTCAATGGGGGTGGCTTGACTGGAGACGACGAGGGCGAAAAAGTGATGAATGCAGGAAATCTGGGTGGTCAGCCTGGTAAGAAGAGCGGTAGGGCAGTGCTGGTCTGATGGTGATAGGCCGAGACACGAGACAGCGCGATCGTGGTTGTGCAGTCAAGTGCAAGCTGTAACTGGGTGACCCCAAAGAGGGTTTGTTGATGAAAAAACTCTTGGTGTGTGACCTGGGGCAAGTGGATAAGATCCAGCCAAGGGCGATCACGAGCCAACAAAAAAAGAAGAAAAAGGAAAGTTCGAGTGTAACCACTGGACTCAAGTACTGCTTCCTTCCTATGTATAGCTAGGCGCGATATCTGCAAAATCAAAGGGTCGCCGAGTCGATTCAAGAAAGAAAAAAAAAAGGTTGATAAATCGAGGGGCCGAATAGAGGGTAATTCGAATGATGATTGAAGGGAGATCCGGATAACGTGGAAGAAGCGGTGGAGCGATGTCGGTCTCGAGTTGGGATAGAGACGGGATGACAATAGCTCGGAAGGGCTCGTGACGCTCCCTCTTGAGGCTTAGTACGGCGTACGGTCGACGGGAAAAGAATAATAAAAACAAAAACCGTGGAGGCTAGCTGTTCACAGTCAAAACGAGTTGAACTCGTTGTATGCTCTTAGAAAGGACTAGGGGAAGTGGTGGCGCCCAATACGGCGTGTCTATTCTGTAATGAGAGGCGTCGCAGAGGAGGGCAGCAGACGAAACACTGTGACTGTGACTGCGATGGCGAGGTGGCGATGGACGAATGAAGGGATGGAGGGTACTTGCGCGGGAGAGTGACGCCGGAGCAAGCAGACCTCAGTGGGGTAAGGTACAAGAAGTAAGGAAGTAAATAGGCACCTTAGTCCGTACCGTAGCCGTGGTCCGTACCACGGTAAAAATAAGTCGTGATGGTGCCGACAACTCCGTGTTACAACGGTTCTGTGTCTAAAAAGTAGATATCATATATAATAAGGTAGTAAAGCACAAAAGAACTTGGTGGGTTGATGAGGCTAGATTGGGGAAGTAAGGGGAATGGAGGGGAAAAAGACAAGGAGAGGTTCTTAAAAGTCGGCACTGGGTCGACGGTTGACACTCATGCAGGGTACGTAAACGCGGCAGTTCGAACAAATATGGTAGGGGTAGACTGTAATCAGAAAATTACCTCCCTCCACATCACGACGTCCTATTGAATGGCAAAATAATAACATTAAAATAAAATAAACAGTAATACTATGCTGATTTCTTGAAAATAATTCCTCACTGGGTGAAGTTGGGCAGTCATATATAAATAGGACATCTATTCGTACGGCTATGAAGTATGTTTGTTTTCCCCTACGTGCATTGCTGGAACAGACAAATATTAGGAACGGCAGAAACAAGAAACGATACAAACCCAAGCCCTATTTACGTCACCTTTGGGGGAATGGTTGTATGCATTTGTACGGAGGAAAAAAAAATTGGTTGTCGTGCCTCGCGTCAAACTTGCACCCGCTGTCCACTTCCACTGCGCTACTCGAAGCAACCGAGTCCTCAACAACTCCAACCGGGGGATAGTGTGTCTATGCTGGTAGCTTGCTTTCTGGGGGGAAAGGAACGTCAAGTGGTTCAAAGAAAATAATAGGCTGCGCATGTTAAGTGGAATATATACAAATAGATGAAGTACGAGAGAGCCAAGATCGTCTGGAGAGATTTGTGCTCGAAGGTGAATGCTGCTACACTGCCCCCTTCTCTGGCTATTATTCATGGCGTCCGGGAATGCCGTATGTACCCCCTTTGATCATGGAATTGTCGAAGTCCGTATGTCTCATGTCTTGTTTGTTGCTTGGCCAGATAGAGGGGATACCCAGAGTCCCGTAGCCCCTAGTGTACAACGTACGTTGTATAGCCATGCAAAATCCTTGCTGAACAGTCCCGTCTCAACAGCTGATCATTCATTGGACAGAACACGATTCTGTGGGACCGGCGTCGGGCTTGGTACACAGAAGTGGGAGCGCCCTGGAACCTCCTCTCGTGGTTGGCTCTCCTCCGTGGAGCGGTGATATTTGGATGGTCTCCAGGCGCAGGAAATTCAAATAATCCAGATGGGCGGTGTCCTGTAACCGAGCTGGGTTGGATAAGGTACCTAATAAGGTAATTTACCTTATGTTCAGGGAGGGGCAGATGATTAGATCAGCCTGCCTCGTTCTTCCCCCCACCATCTCCCAGCTTGGGGACTCTCAGATGACTGGTAACTCGCCATGGCACATGCTCTCACCGGGCCGCGTGGTTGCTCAAAGACGCACGAAGGGTCCAACCTCCTATGACAACAGTTCCTGGCTTTCTAGCACCGGGTGCCAGGATAGGTCAGGCCCAGTTCTATGACCGTAAGATGGGTTTTAACGCTCCAGCCTTCTGGTCAATGACAAGTATTCGTAGGTCGGGTGGGTGAGCGGGGGCATAGTCCGGAAAGGCAGAAGCAGGAGTAACTTATACTTCGTATAAGGCCACTGGGTCGAGTTAACTTTAGGATCTAGGTCCTCGGTCGGAAAACATCAGTAACCGTGATTAATATTATTATAGGTCTCCATTTACCTGGCCTCTTGGTCTTGGCGGTGGGATCAGCGGTACATACTCTACACTACGGGGCGACCGGCCGCTTTGTCCATGCGACGACGGTTTCAAGCAGAGGGACCCATACCTTAGTCGGGAGATACCTAAAAACTATTAACGAGATAAACTGGATCTCAGAGGCGGCCCGGCCAGTCTTGATGACCGTATAATCCGGGCAACGGGACAGCGTGGCACACAAGACTTCTACTTCGTAGAATTATTATGTAGGGGTCCCCAAAGATCAATTAAGGTGTGGACCCGACTGAAGGTACTACTAAGGAAGCATATACATACATATCCCTCGAGAAGGTTGGCCCAAAAACTTGAATGTGCTCGGTTAACATAAATGGAACAAGAAGGAAAAAAGGGAATCCTAGAAAGCTGGAAAGGTGGACACACATACATGGCACAAACAAAGAACGTGGCGAGTCATTGGGGTGAAATCCCACTCATTCATCGCCGCCATCACGCAACGAACCCGTTATCTTGGCTTCTAAACTTCGAGAATCGAACCGGATAACCGAACCCATAACGTACTCCAGACTTTGTACCTTATCCTATCTTCCGTAAGGAATGTACCTTAATATGTCGCTGCACACTCGACAGGAATGGTACACATGTTGTTTAGGACGAGGCATACTTCGTACTTCATATACTGTACATTCTGCAATCCCGGGCAATACAGACGTAGGCCGTGGGCTGTTCAAGGTGGGTCAAATAAGTACATTTGCTCTTTGGATTCAGGTTTGGAAGGTCTTGGGGAGTGGTAAGGAGGGGGGCAGGATCGCGGACCACGCGGTCGCCCACCTGGTGTCCGAAGAGGGGTCGGGTTCCTGTTCACTGAAGCGCTTCCCTGTTCGCCCCACTTAAGGTATATCCCGCTAACTAGGTACACTACGCACGCGTCGGGTCCCGGCCGGGCTACTGTGCAGGGACGACGCTTCGAAGGCGGGGTTGGATATTGCTATTTCCTGATACGGATAAGCTTGCTTCAGCTACCTGACTTCGTACTCCCTATACTCCCTAGGTATGTACCTATTGGTACCTTACATAGGAAACATACCTACCTTAGGTACTCGAATAATCACCCGTATGTAATTCGATAGGGGCCGTCCTCGCGGCTCGGGCTCCCGGTCCATTGCTTTTCCTTATCCAGACCCTGCGTACAGCTCCAGAAGGAGCAAGGCAACTTGAACTCTTGGAGCACCCGTGTACTGTCTGATATCGCTCACATGATGAAATCGATGAATATGGGAAAGTAGCCTCGAAGTATAAGTTGAACTCCTCTCCTATTATTTCCCTCATTTGCTTGAGGTGTCGCCCGGTTTCTTTATCTTGATCTCTTGTGGCGTTTGAGTTCCCCCTGATCCCTCCCGACACCGGTTGGGAAGCTGAGGCAGCAACCCCGGGGTACCCGGAGGTACCTCTCCAGCAGTCTCAAGGTACCTTATGCGGCTATGCCCTGAATGGCCCACTCCCACTAACGTCGAGCCACAGAACAGAACCCTTGATACATTTGTGACCACCCCTGTCTGCTGTCGGCTGACAGTCCACTTTGTGGCAGGGAATTGAATGGAGAAGAACCTCTCTTATCGATAGCGATACCAGGAATAAGACCCCTCCCCTCTTCCTTCGACCCCCACATGTTTCCTCCGTGTCGTCGACATTTCCCTGAACCACCTGACCACCATTTTCATACCCCGACAACAACCCGACCATTTTCAAGTTGCCTGTCAACTTCGTTATCGCCATTGCGCCGTGCACATGCGTTGTTTCTAAGACGACCCTTTGCGAGACGAGGTCATGCCTCATTTCTACTCCTACTCGTCATGAACTCATAGGTCAAAAGTCGAAAAGGACCCCTCTCCCGACCCCAACCGTCTCTACCTGCAAGTTGGCGGCTTCCCAACCATCACAAGCTTTTCCCACCTCTTTTTTTGGACTATTGCGACTACAGTCTTAAAATTTCAGTGACATCTATAAAACGAAAGCCTATCATCTGACTGGATTTCGACCCCGAGTTCAGACTTTCTGTATAGGCTTACATCCAAAACTTTATTCTTCACTACCTACCTTGCACATTTTTACGAGTCGAACCCCCTACCTGGATAGCAAGCCATCATGGTTGAACTACATCATGCCGAGCCCGGTTCAGCGCCAATGGAAATGGCCGATGAACAAACTCCAGTCAATGCTGAAGGTCCCGTCAAGAAAAAGAACCGCCAGAGGCTGCTTCATCGCATCCAACGCATATCGTCATTTCCTTCACTTCCCCAGACTGGTCGTCCGAGAGCCCATAGTAGCCCTTATAGAACCCGAGACACGCTCTCCTGTGCCAGTCTTACCGGCTCTATGGGCGCCGGAGTCCCTTACAGTAGCGACTCCTACTTTCCTCCGGGTGCTATGGCCTCTGGCTACGCCAGTGCCTCCAGCTCCCTCTCTGCCAGCCCCGCAAGCGACATGACCTTACTTGGAGGCGACGACTGCCTCAATGTACGCAAGATTGGCACCCCGACATCTTTTCCTTCGAACTATGCTGTTCAAACAGTCGGCCTCCCGCCCGATATCCGTACCGCCATAAAGACGCATATAGCGAACCCGGCAATCCCCAAAAGGGACTTCAAGTTTTGGGATCATATGCCACATGAAGTGCGGCTCTACGTATTCTCGTTTTTCCTTCCCATGGAGCTGGTTCGAGCGTCGAGGGTGAGCAAGATGTTCTACAATATCTGCTTTGATGGGCAGTTATGGACGAACTTCGACGCGTCCGAGTTTTACAGGGATATTCCCGCCGAGAGTCTCGCGAAGATTATCAAAACTGCCGGCCCATTCATCAAGAGCCTCAATTTACGAGGTTGCGTCCAGGTCGAACACTACAAACAAGCCGAAGTGGTGTTCAAGTCATGCAAAAATCTGGTCGATGTTTCGCTCGAGGGCTGCCGCAACTTCCACCGGACCACCCTGCACGGCCTAGTCAAGGCTAACCATAAGCTCACTACCCTCAACCTCACGGGTCTGGCGTCCGTCACCAACATTTCCTGCAGGATCATTGCAAACTCCTGCCCCCAATTACAGATGCTGAACGTATCCTGGTGCCCCCACCTGGATTCTAGGGGAATCAAGGCCGTGGTCAAAAGATGTCCCAATCTGGCAGACTTGAGAGCCAGGGAGGTCAGGGGCTTCGACATGATTGATGTCGCTGCAGTACTATTCAGGACGAATAATCTAGAACGACTCGTCTTGAACGGCTGCGCAGACTTGACCGACAGCGCTTTGAAAGTCATGATCCACGGGGAGAACCCTGAATTCGACATCTTGAGCGACATTCCCATTGTTCCACCCAGGAAATGGCGTCATGTGGACCTCAGTCGATGCAAGCATCTCACGGACCGGGGCGTACAAGCCTTGGGACATCTGACACCAAACCTCGAAGGGCTTCAACTGTCGGGTTGCACGGCATTGACTGACGCAGCCCTGACGCCCATCGTCGCCTCAGCGCCGCGTCTCACCCACCTCGAGCTGGAAGACCTCACCCAGTTGACCAATACATTCCTGTCCGAGCATCTAGCGAAGGCTCCTTGCGCGCCCTTTCTTGAACACTTGTCTCTGAGCTACTGCGAGAACCTCGGCGACACCGGCGTGCTTCCCCTGGTGAAGAACTGCGTCCAACTCAAGAGCATCGATCTCGACAACACGCGCATCAGCGATCTCGTCCTCGCCGAAGCCGCTTACATGGTAAACAAGCGCTCCAAGCTTAACACGGACCCAAGCGCCCGGCCTCGTGTCGGTCTGCACATGGTTGTCTACGACTGCCATAATGTCACCTGGACCGGCGTCCGTGAGGTTCTCTTCCGCAATTCCTACGTCAAGTCGTCCATGGTCGACGATGGCACCAAATACTCTTATTACCCCGCGGAGGTGATCAGCCTGAAATGTTTCTACGGCTTTCAGATGACCGTCGACGAGCACCTGAAACGCGTGCTCCGCGGGGATTTTGCCGCGGCCGCTCGTCTGGAACGCCGGTGGGCCGACTGGATGCAGGCCAACGAAGAGGCGGGAACCACGGGGGCAGGTCATCGGCGCAGGCGGCGTCGGGCCAGGGAGGCGCAGATGCTACATGCCGACGAGGAAGAAGGCGGCGTAGTGCATGTCGGTCGTCGGCGGGCGAGGACCATTCCGTCGTGTACCCTCATGTGAATCCTGATTTCGGGTTTGCACAGCTCAGCTGAAGAAGAGAGACCGTCATAGAATCCCCTGTCTTGTCATTGGTCATTTTTTTTTCTTTTCTCAGACTTGTTTGTTAGGCGTCCCCAATTGGGGAGTGGGAAATGAGCTTTCTATCGAGGCGTATCGGTATTGGAGTTGCATTGGTGTTTGTTTCAGTTTGGTCCCGTTCTTCCTCTCTCCTCTTTGCACGCTGTTTTTCATAGAATTATGTTCCGTTGTTGGCTGGTCCATTTTTAGGCTCTTCCAGGCGAAGAGGATGGGGGTGTTTGTTCTCTGACAACATAGCAAAGGGACTTGAACTGGGGACCTCACTTTCAGCAGGCGCCCCTTGGCCAGACATGCCTCGCTTCTCCGAGGCTATCTCCTCTCTTATTGCTTCCGAGGCACCATGGACAAGAATTTTTACATATCGTTCTCGTCTTGTTTGGAAAGTCTTTTGCGCATGATGGGGTTAGGCACTGGGAACCGGACGTGGAACAGGAAACAAAGGGACTTCTACGGGTATCATAGAATGTTATTGGTTCTGCAAGTCGGCTCGGGTCAACTCAGGTCAGATAACAACCTAGGAATGGTCAGGTCGTATTGAGCCGTTCATTGTTCAATATTGTGGGTATCTTGGCTATTGATCCAAGCACTGAAAATGTGACTCGCCTTCAACTTCCCAGAGGGTGCCTGGGTGTTGCGTCTATAGCTGAAGCACGAAATAGACTTCTATCGTTTGTCTGCGCTATGCGGTGCAACGCGAACGCAAAGCATGGCTCTCATGCTATGTCACAGACACTGTCACCCTGAGCCGTACTGGCGGATGTAGCGCCGGATATTCTCTTCGAATAATTTGTCTCCATCGAGCTTCTCGGCGTCGATAACATACGCATCTGGGTCGTCGTCTTCATCGCTACCACGCATAGCACGCGCGTAATAGGTGCCATCGACGTCGGGAAAGTCGTCTTCCGATCCATCATCGTTGTGGTAGAGATAAGGGTTGCGGTCATACTCGTCGTCCGAGGCGATTTCGTCCTCGGGGTAGTCTGCTGTGTAGTGGTTTTCGGCTGCGATGGTACGGTATTAGCTCAAGATTCGGTTCAGCAGCGAAATGATTAAGACAGGCCAAACAAAAAGGAAAGGAAAGAAAAGAAAAGAAATGCCGGCTGAATTCTGACAAAAGCAAGAAGGTAAGGAAGCCAGGGGACACAAGAAAACTGACCGTTTTCGTCTTCATCGTCCCAGGCATCGTCCGAGTCCTCCTCCTCGTTGCCATAGAAAAGTTCCAAGTCCTCTTGGGTATCAAAGTGCAATACGCCAATCTGCTCGGGAGGAATATTTCGTAGCGAGGTAGCGTAGTCAGTAGGCGTGGAGGTCAGTTCGTAGACTTCAATCTCGTAGTCTTCATCGGACATTTCTGTGTCAGTTGGAGATTCTGGCGCCTCTTTAGAGGCCTGTTCGTTGAGTCTACGGGCTAGCTCTGGGTGACGTTCGGCGAAGCGCTGAGCGGGGGCCTTGGGTTTGAATCTCGGTGAAGGCTTGGAACGAGGAGATTCAGCGTCGCGAGTTTGTTGGATTTGCATCTGTTGCAAGTTGAACCCTAGCTCATGGAGCACCCATTGGTCCATTTCGGTGGCTTTTTTATCGATATCTTCCACTGGGGCGAATGAAGGTAACGGCTTCCGCTGCGCCCTGACGTCGTCGGCCTTCGCTTCTTCTGTTATAGGCGCAGCAGACTCACCCGCGTTGGCGGTGATCTCGTCTTTGGTCAACACGCGTCTGGTGCTGGGTTTCTTCAAACCGGTGGAGGTGGGTTGTTGACTGTCAGTTAGGGCCCCCCCAACCGCATGGTTCTCGATGGAGGCGGAAAGCTGTTTCGGTTCGACTGGTTTCTTGGTAAGTGATCTCTTTTTCCCTCGCTCGACAAAGACGGCAGTTCCGTAGCGATGCTTCTTCGAGATACCAGCTTTGAGTACTTGATTCAAGTCGGTGGTCATAGAAGCACGGGTCATGTGAAAGCGGCGAGGTTCAATGGTATATAGCCCAGGTGAGCTGGTGGTGGTCGATGGTTGTTGGGTGGGCTTTCCGACGGCTGTCGTTTGTGCGCCATGGTCGCTCGGGAGAGCATCTTGGGTAGCTGGGCTTTTCGTGGTTGTAACCTTCGACCTCGTCTTTGGAATCAAGAATTCATCGCCAGGTTTCGAGGTTTGAATGATGGGAGCGGTGTGTATCACGTCGGTATCGGGGCGTGGGTTGGTGTCAACGATGGACTCGGAGGCCTTGGAGCCAGCAATACGCCGCTGATATACCCAGTTGCTACCACTTCGGTGACGCTTGGTGCCATGTTCAAGCTCTGTGATTTCCTCCAGTTAGCACAAGGCCGGATGTACGGAGTTAGGAGGCCAAAGATCGTACGCAGGTAGGTGACAGGGGCGTCCTCGTCGCCGCGTTTCCGCTTCACATGGATGAGTCGTGGAGGAGCCGACATTTTCCGTTGGACGTTAGAGGGTAAGTCGAAGCGTTTAGAGAAAATAGAGAAACGTAAGTTCAATAAAAAGGTGTCAAAATCAGTTGTGATCGGACGCCAACGAGTTGCGTTGTTGCTGTGTTCGCAGTGATGGGCCAGAGTTGCTGGGAGTTGTACAGAGTAATAATATTTATTACTTCGTAATCTGTAGCTGTATTATTAGTGACCTTCGTACTTTGAGTACCTTAGGTAATATGAATGCGGTTCGTGCCCCACAGTGGCAATGCCGACAGGTACCTAGGTATGTACTCCGTGTTGCGTGATTGCCTGCAGGCACCACCTGTTGACCGGTATATCTCGTGTAGCCTCCACAGCTACCCGTTTGGTTGGGCTGGGATATTCTTCTTTCTACACTAGGTACATATACCATTTCACAGACATCACTGTTCGACCTTTTATACTCTCTACCTGTCTCCGTACCTTGCTTGTCTAATAAGGTAAGTCGTTCCGGATCATCGGGGGACGCCGGGGTGAGCGATGAGAAGCGGGAACGGCGGTGATGGCGGGAGGGGGCCGAAGCCCCCCTACTCTACCCAAGTCCCGAGGCTTAGCTTCCGGTGTCCACCAAAGTACCTACAACAGCAGTGGCTCGTAGCGTAGCCGACTTTCAGAGCCTCATGAAGCTTAAACCGTTGCTGTAGTGTATACACTTTCCCTGCCGAAATTTGCACCTGTACGGAGTATATTTACTATGAGACTATGTACGGGTACCGTAATTACGAGCAGGGATAAGATGCCAAAAATCTTACTCTTTCTGGCTTACTCTTCCCCCCTAAACAAGTTGGTCGTCGTGATCTTGTGGTGCGGGAAGTACGTAGATGTCAGTTAGGGTCGGACAGGAGTAAGAGACATATCTTAGGTGTCGTTTTATCTCATCCATGACCGGGCATTCGGATACCTCTGTTAATGTGGACAGTGGCGATGACAGGAATGGTTCACTGCGGCAGCAAAACGGAGCCGAAGGGCGTGCTGCGCTTGTTTGAGGTGAAGTGGAAGGGAATTATTTGAAATGATGATGGCCTGGTATATGGGTAAAATGGAATACCTACATATATTAAATCATTATTTATAGGGTGGGGTTAGTTCCGACTAGGGTGGTACTGATAGCACGTGACGCTAGCCGCCATCGATTCCGTATGTACCTAGATGCCTACACACACAACCGACCTGCGTACGTCATATACGATCAATTGCGCGATATCGTCGGTCGTTCAATTTACGATATTGTCAACGCCCTCGTGGCTGGGGTCGTGGACAACGTGGAGGGCGGGGACGAGATCAGTCGTAGCTAAATTTGGTTGAGAGGTAACCCGAACCAAACTGGATCTTGGCCGGGAACAGACGAAGCTATCCGTAGGTTACAGGAAGAGCGATGATATCGCTAATTGAACGTCGTTAATTGAACGAGCGATGATATCGTCAATTGAATGACCGACAGGCATATCGTTAATTAATCGTATGTAACGTACCTTAGGCAGGTGGGTTGTGTGGGAGTATCTAGGTATAGACGGGAACCGTGGCGGCTGGTGTCAGGTCGTCAGTACCACCCTAGTCAGAATAACCAAGTCCTAGTCGGACTAGCCCCACCCCTGTTTAGAATGATTTTGGATGAGATGTAGGTTGTAGATATTCGTATTGGGCATACGTTTGTACCTTAGGTAATTCATACTGAGTAAGGTAGTGAATTATAACTAACCAAGAAGGGTTTGAGCCAGCCTGCGGGGCGATGCGGAGGCTCGGTGCTTGTTTCCTTCCTAAATTTAGTGGGCTCCGAGGCTTCGTATAATCCACGTACCTTTACTCTTTGCACCAATGACGTTCCATATTACCCTGTACGTAGTGCCATGACATGACGCCTGCATAAGGTACATTGAAATGATGATGTGAACGATAATGGCCGCGTATCGTCATCCCTTCGCTTTCGACGTTTGGCCCTTTCCTCTGCGTGTCCTACCATACTTGTATTATTCCAACGGGCCCATACCCGCTCCTCCAGCCTATAGGCAGTGTTATGCCGGGTGTTGCTACCTCCGAACATAAGGTACTGCGTACATGAAGTCGCACATCGCGCAAGCCCAGTAATCGGCCTGGTCGGTGGTACTACATACAGTCGTTGTTGTTACCTTTCGCTTCCCTTCTCGTAGCCTCATTATATCATAATTTCATAGCTCCTTCCTCGAGAATTCCTCATTTCCCTTCCCTTTCCTCCTTCCCCATGTTCCCTCTTGAGCTTTTCACCCAGTCCCGTATCCTTTGTGCTCGTGCTATCCCCTGCCCATTCCACAACCACCGCCAATTCTTCATCATCACCGATCGTCACCACCACGTCCACCTGCATCTACCCGCCACACTCTCCCCCCTCGTGTAAATTTTTATTTTTATTTTTTGCCCCGTGTGCCGCCAGGTCGGAGTCCCAATTCGTCGGTAAGGTACTTCTCAGGTCTAGATCTTACGGCCTGCTGAACTTCCCACGCCGTGCAAGGTAACCTTCATTCTACCCCTCTCCCCAATCTCCCCCATGTCATCCCCATTTAGTCGTCCCTCCGGCATCCGGATATCCATTGGTTCTTTTCATCCGCATTCCTCGGTTTTAGCCGAGCCATCCCCTCCCGGTGCTTCGCCTGCCCATCCTTCACTCTCATCTACCCTCCCTGCTTAGCTGGGTGTGCCAGTCCCTGACCGATAGCTTCATAGGTATGCTCTGAGACGCCAACAAAAGCTGTCGGTTTCCTATCGGAAGAGGGTCTCTATTCCCCTATCCACGTCCTTTCTCGAGCCGGTGAAATAGTCAGATGCTTGGCGAGTTTTTGAGGCTCCGCGCCTGTACCAGACATTAACAGACGCTTTCACACTTTCCCCTTGAACAGACGTCGAGTAGCCTGTTCTGTTGTCGGAGCTGCGAATCGCCAGAATGGCCAATACATCCGTCTCGAAGGTGTCTGTCACGGTCACCTTCCAGAAGCCCGGCACCAGACCTCCTTTGTTCATCGCCGGCACCTTTTCCGATCCGCCCTGGGAACCCCAGGAAATGCACCCCACAACTGACGACGGAGGCGAATATATCTTTACCAAGTCCATCCACTTGAGCCCCGGTGCCCAAGTTCAGTACAAACTTCGAGTTGGCCTTGGAGATTGGTGGATTCTGAATGAAGGTGCCCCGACAGGTATGGTTGCCCCTTGGTTTCCACAGTGACCCGGTACCCGCCAACAAACAATAATGTGGCAGTCTTCGACGATTCCGGCAATACAAACAACCTCCTCACCGCACCCCCGTTGCAAGAAGCCCCTATTCAGCACACAAAGTCCGACACCCCTGCCGCGCCTGCTCCCGAAGTTGCCCCTAAACCGAAGGGCATCTCCCGAGTACAAGAGCTCGACAAACAGCGGCAATCGTCAACGCCCATCGAGCAAGTGGCCGCCACAGCTGCCGAGGTCGCAGACACTGCCGAGAAATTGGACGAAGACGAGGCGAGTACATCACATAGCTCGCCGCCCTTTGCTAGGTTGCTGACAATCTCTTGCTCAGAATGAAAGTCGAAGAGAAGCAGGTGACAGCACTCTAGAGCCCGCTCCCCATGGTGGTGATGACAATGTGTCTCAGAATGGTGCCGAGGACGAAACTCCTCCCCTCCTTGCCCACGAATGTTTGGGAAGTGTCGGCTCCTCCCCAAGCGATGTATCACCACTTGGTCGGTCCGAACAACGGCGTAGCCATGGAAGCGTCGATTACGACATCGACAAGTACGATCTTAACGACCCGACCCTGGAAAAATGGCCGTCGGATCGCAATTCCATCATCGAGGCCCTTCGCAAGGTCGAGACAGGACTGACCGAAGATCCAACCTGCTTTGTAGGGTCGCCAGTTTCACCTGGCGCGGGAGACCCGAGGAAGGCTAGCATCGTCGAGGACCAGGGTGCACTCAGTACCAGTACGGAATCCGGTAGCCCAGGTTCTGGGAAGAAGCTCGATGTGCCTCGCAAGACGTCCGTTGTCTCACATAAATCGCGTAACTCCCAAGCCTCCCTAGCAGCCATTGCGGAAGAAGGGGCTAAGGAGAGGGCCGGTGGCGGGAGTGAAGGCAAGACTGAGACGCCAGCGTTAAGGCCTCCGTCATCAGTAGTCCACGTCCCCAGTCACGGTATTACACCGGCTCCAGATTCCGCCAAAGGCCTTTCAAGTGACGAGGATGAAGCCGTGGTGATGCAAGGCTCGGAGGCGAAAATCAAAACCAAGGCTGCGGAGAACGACAAGGCCCAGGGCCCAAACACCAACGAGCTTCCGCCCGAGGAGAGCCAGGCTAGGTCATTGGTCAATGTAAGGGACACCAATGAAGTCTCCACCTCGAGCCCCGGGGTGCCACCCCGGTCGCAAAGCCCCGGAATCCAGGTCCAACCACCCGATGAGATGGATGAATTGGAAGACGCTGACGAGGCAGGTGCTACCGGTGGTCTAGTCACATCCTCCGACCAATTCGACGAGACGAGCGCGGAGAGGCTAGTATCAAGGCAGGTCGGCGAACGCAATGGACCAACTGATCGTCCTGTTACACCGCAATCCGTATTCAGCACTAAGGGGGCTGGAGGGGGCAACTGGATCCGAAACTTCTTCCGTGTCGTCTTCGTTGACTGGATCGGCGCTTTCATCAACCGATTGTGGAGAGGGAAATGGAGGTAACGACGGACTCGCTCTCCACATCGTCGAAGGAAGGTATGGCTACCGGTAGGACTCTGCCAGATAAGTTGTACCACGAAGATTTGATTGGGCAGAGTGGACGACGAAGGAGATGGACGGGAGGCTATAATGATGAAAATGGGCAAACTTATGTAGGTAGCAAGTGTACTGGCGAGTCGGGCAGACATGGAGGCACCCCGGCGCGAACGAGTGGATTGATGTGTCTGTTTTGAGGGGGAAAAAAGAAGGGAACACGAAGAGCTATAATATCCATGAGCACTATTTGAAACCGGCGTGGTCTTCTGTCTCACAATTCATATTTCGTTCCGTAGCGGTTCATCGTAACTCGTCGTCTCATTCAGAACACCCTCCAGACGGCGCCGGCCCTTGGGGTATCACAATGATTATGGCGTGCAACCAAATCCTCTTCCCGATTCATCCTCCGAATCCAGTCCGTCTCATTCTCGACGGCCGCCCGCTCAATGTCCTCCATGATGGCCAGTTCCGCGAGCATATCGCCAACCAGGCTACGGCAGCCCTCCAGAATACGGCACAGGCTCGATACCATTTCTTGTTTGCCGCCGTCCCCAGCAGAATTCTCGTGGGCAGAAGCTGCTCCCGCCGCCCCGTCGATCCTAGGCGCGTCTCCGAGGTGATGCAGCTGGCGTCTCCAGCCGTCTAGCCTCCTCACGAGGCCGGCAACATCGTCCTTCCAAGCGTCGTCCAGTCCGCCGACGAGGACGTGCCCGTCTTCGACCGCGGTTCCGTTGCCATTACCGGTGCCGTTGCCGGCCTCACCGAGCCCGAGCAGGAGGAGGAAGGCGTCGTCGTGGTCTTGGGAAGAAATCCTCTGTCGCAGCGCGTCGGCCCCCACCATGCGGTCGCACCACCTCTCGAACCGCCTTGCTACGCGGGCATAGCGGCCCCCGGGGCTATCGAGACCCCACAGCCCCGTCAGGACGGCGTCGAGGACTTGAATCTTCTGTTCGAGGGTGCCGACGCCGGTGGCGGCGCCGGTCCCGCCCCATGCGAGTAGTGTGGCGACGTTGGCGCGCTCGACGACCTCGACCTCGGCGTCGCTGACTTGGCGGTTGTGGAGGGCGAGGTCGGCATGGCGGGCTTCGAGGGCGCGGCGGGCGCTGGCGTGCCAGGAGGCGTGTGTGGCGGGGGCGTCGCGGTGGAGGAGGTGGAGTTGGAGGAGTTCGGTCTGGAGGCGCGTCGTCTCGGCTGAGGCGGCGATGTTGGCCGGGCGTTTCGAGGGGCTTGGGGGCGCCAGGTAGGTGGCGGTCAGGGGTTTGGGACCCGTCTTGCGGAGGGGGGAGTAGTGTTGCTGCAGTGTGGTGAAGGCGGGTCTTTTGGAGAGCTGCGGGGTGGGTTTTGAAGATAAGGAGGTCGTCGTGTCGGAGGTGAGCGGCGGTGTCCTTGATGATGATGTTGAGGTCGCCATTGATGATGTTGTTGTTGCGGTCGACAGCGACCTGGAGGTTGTCTGGGGGCGGCGGTCCTCCCGCTCAGCTGTAGAAGGATTTCGGGCATGGGGGGATCTGGAACGCGTCTTAGGCACGGTGACAACCGTGCTAGACACCGACGAAGAGGTTGTTTGCACCGGCGGTCGGAGAATAGGGGCGTTGGAGAGGATGTTTCCAGCTGTTGAGGCGGCAACGGTCGAACTAGCCGTAACGGTGCTCTTAGCTCTTGTGTGACCTAGTCGTGCCCCGCCTGGTCCTAATCTCGCGTTGCTATTGCTAGTGGTATGGGAGGTTAAGCTGCCGGACGAAGACGGACGCTTTGTTCTCGCTGTAGTCATGGCAGTAGTGCCCGGAATCGTCGAGCCCGGGGCACCACCGGATGAAATGACGCCAGAGATGGAAGCATTGGGTGGGTAACGTGACCGAGTGAGACGTGGAGGAGCAACACGGGAAGTTCCCGCGTCCGCTGGAGATATCTTCCCCGAAGTCGAAGTCCCGGCACCGGTGGTAGTTGCGGTTCGGCCGGTCAGAGTCCCAGAAACTGGACGAGCTTTCTTGAGGCCAGACCCGGAGGTCGATGTAGCGGTGGAAGTAGAAGGCCCATTGGCACCAGAAGCAGGTAGGTGGCTTGAGGTGGCGGAATGGGCAGCACTTCGCAATGCAAGTTTTGGGGCGGGAAGGCGAGTTGGCGAGCCGGTGCGATCTTTGGATGTCAGGATATTAGAGGTGGTGTTTTGTGTTTGTGCCGTGGAGGAAGAAGCGCTGGCAAGTCGGTTGCGGGATGTCCAGTCGGTGGTTGCGGGTGGATTGGGTTTTCGAAGGGAACGAGATCGGGTGAGAGGTGGTCCTGCCGAGGTGGCCATAGTGCAGCCTGTTTATCATGGCCGTCAAGGCCAGGTGTCGAGGCGAGAAAGGTGGGAGGAGGACGTTGTTGTTGTTGTTGTTGTTGTTGACATGAAGCGGTCGAGCATTTCGGTGAGTGAGCTCTCGAGTCTCCAACTCCTGCGCACGAGCCTCCTACACCCACACCGACATAGGAAGTGATTACTCAGCAAGATGGGGGGCCTTAGTAATCACGTAGTGGCTGACTGTTTCTGCTTTGCCCGTGACGCAGATTACCGTCGGTGACCAAAAGGACCGAAGCGCTCTACACAATGTTATTACGAAACGTGCTTCGGTCCTTTTCTCAGGTCGCCCACTATAACTACCTCGGAATCTTTGCGTGATGATTTGTACCTTAATATATCCCAAATTTCGGCGATGAGACCCGATACGCGTTTTCCAAGGTTCGCTTCAGCTTCTGAAAATACATTACACCTATGTTATGGTCAAGGATTATCGGGGTTTTTCTTCATAAAGAGCGCCTGGTTAGTCGCAGTTGTATTCTGCTCAAGCCGCGGAGCTCCCTGCTCAGGAAAAGCCCTCTAAAGCCATAATGTAACGCTATGGCGAATGATAAAGTAAAGGGATGTGAGCATGGTGATGCCTGGAAATATCAAAATATACCAAGAGAACCGTCCTGAACTCGTGTGTTCCACTCAGTGCACGAAAATACGCATTGTAGTACCCATCATCCAGGCCGCCAACATATCGTAACACATGGTATCTCTATATAATTATTCGAAGAACCCCCACCCAAAAAAAAAGGAGAAAAAATATGACAGAGATAGATGTAAAGAATATTCAAAAAGTCGGACCTCTTCAACCCGACACCGTATCCTGCTGGCCTGGGAGAGGAGCAGTGGCGGGGTCTGCCTTAAGCTGCGCAAGGAGCTTGCCCAAATCACACCCATTCTGTGCCAACGCCCTGCGGCACTCACCACAGATACGTACGTGGCACGCAGTGCACGCCCAGCGCTCTCCCCGGTCTTCTTTCCCGCAAGCCTGACACGCAACCGGGTAGTTGCCCTGCGGGCTGGCGCGCATCTCCCGGTGCGTCGTGTGGCAGCGGAGCATGTGCTGCTTCAACGGCAGCGGCTTGAAGATGGTACCGGGGGAGGCCGGCGTGCGAACGGCGGTTTTGGGGAACCGCAACGCGCTTGGGTCAGGAGGTGGCAGGTTCTCTACGCGCAGCTCGCGGTACAAAATCTTGCTGGCAGGTCGTGTCGCCGGACCCGGCACATGGCCGGAGCGGCTGGCCGGTCGCCAACCCGGTCCGGGACGGTGCTCCCATCCTGCCGATGGGCGGCGCGGATTGGGCTGGTTTGAAGAACTCCGAGGTGGGTGGGGAGTGGCAGGGCTGAGGGCGAAATCGCGAGCCCGCACAGTTGGATCAAGGACCGGAGGCACTTTGTTAGTCGTTACCGATTCCCTCGCACCACCCATTTGTGGTAGACTCTGCGCCGCCCGAAGGCTAGGCTCTCGGCTTGCTGCCTTGCGTGAGATGGCGGGTCGCTCCTCTCTATCCACATCCTTGGGCGGAGAATCGAGTGAGGCAGTGGGAGGGATGGTGGCGGCCGTAATAGGTGCGGCTTGGCCAGCCTCGGAACCTTGAATGTCTTTCTTCTGGAAATCCGGTATAGGAAGCCGGGGTGGCCGGTCAGACTGGGTTCTGGTCTCGCTTTGCAAAGACGCATCTCCTTGCTGTGTCGCATGCGCTTCCGGGGCCTCGTGTGCTCCGTCCCGAACATTTTTATGGGATTGGATGGACCTGAGCCTGAGCTGGGAACATCCGCTGCCCATAATATCACCACCCGGTCCCTGGTTGACAGTTTGGTCGCCTGGGGGAGGAGGGAGCCCTTTGCCGGAGGGGCATTCTAGGCCAGGTTGACTGGGCTCAGTCGAGGGCCCATGAGCAGTTGATAAATCTTGGCGTTGTGATGGTTGCGATGGTTGTGATGGTTGCGATGGCTGTGATGGTTGTGATGGTTGCGATGGCTGCACTGCGGCGCTTGATATCGAGGATGGGTTTACTGCTGTTCGAGTAGGAGGCTGTGAGGCCGCAGTATACCCGTGACTAAAGGCCAGCTTGAGATCCGGGAGCTGGATACTGCGATCGGATTTCACGGAGCGGCGGCGCCATAGCTCGGGACGCTGAGGGGAGGACCTCACAATTCCAGACAGCCCCAGCCCGGTAGCAGACGATGTGTTGGCGGACGCAAGGATCTCACGGTCATCCTTCCTCGGTGTGGGCGGTCCCTTCTCCTCCTGCAAGGTGGCCAGGGGAGGGAGGGGTAGACTCTTTTCGGAAACACGCTCGACGGCTGTGATGGTTGGTGAGACATCCCGCACCTGTTGCGCCGCCTGCTGCTGTTTTTCCGCCGAGCCCTCGTTTAGCCGCATATTATACTTGTCCTCGCGTGGGTACGCCACTGTCGCCATCGATCCTTTCCTGGTGTTCGAGGCTCCCTCGTGCGGCTCTGGAGAGACTTCGTGTTCCGCCGAGTCGGTTGCCGCCGAGTCCCTTTGACTACTATCCCCATATGACCTGATCAACGACTCGGCGTCAGAGGTTCTCGAATAAGCCGACAGCAAACTACCAATAGAGTCCGTCGGCGACAATTGGGTTTCTTCATTCGACATCCAGGGTCCCTTCTTCCCTGCCACCACCTGCGGCGGTAGAGAACCTTGTGGCGGTTGTGGCTCCCGTTGAGACGGTGGATTCTGCTTCGGAGGTAGGACTGGCCGCCTCGGTATGGACATGGGAGGAGGTGGCGGCGGCAGAGGCGACTGTGGCTGCGGTTGGGCTGGCGGGTGCGGATGCGCGCCGAGTAGAGCTGGCGAGGGGTTTAAATGGGAGGTTGTCGACTGGCCCGTCGCGACCGGTTTCCTGACCGGTTTCCTAGCCAGAGAGGCGGGAGCCGTGAGGGACGACACGCACGACAGGGGCGAAATGGGCGAAAGAGGGGGGATGGAAGGTAGCTCCTTGACGGCCGGACGAGAGGTGCGTAGAGAGCCGAGGCGGGTGACATCTAAAGGCGGAGGAGGCGGAGGCGCAGGCAGGGCCTTCGAGAAGCGCGACCTCGACCTGGTGCTGGCCGGAGTCGGCGGAGCCTCGTGCCGCAGCATGACGGCTGACAGAAGACGAAGACCTTGTTGTCCGCTGTCACGCTGTCCGCCGTCGCAAGGTTGGGGCGGACCTGATTTCCCACACGCTATCCTATGGCCGTGGCTCCCAGGCTCGGGTTAGACCTTGCTTGGGTTGATTCGGGTTTCCCTATCCCAAGGCTATCTCTCGATGCGGGCAAGTCTTGGTTAGGGTCAATGTTCAAGAGGCACTAGCATGCACATGCGGTATGGACAAGCGTCGGCGTCAATCGAAGCCGCGATATATCTGGATTGCAAAAGCCTTCTGCTGCTGTACGAAGTAGATTGGCGCAATGTTGAAGAAACAAAAGAAGATTGGACCGTTTTTCTCGCGTTGTCTTCTCAGTGATTCGTTTAAGAGAGAATTTTATGTGGTCATTCGAACAAGGAGGGTCGGCTTGTGACTGCGATGGTCAAGATGAGTATGAACGGGGGAACATGCAGATGATGCTGGGAATGGGAGACGCCAGTTCGCGACAAGTTCAGGATCAGGAGAGCGCGTCCAGTCCGGAAAATGAGTGGGTAAGTAAATTAAGGAAATTGAGGCAATGAGCGAAGGAGAGGACGAAGCATGGATTTGATCAAGGCACAACGGCCAAGGAGCGTGATCGACAATTCTGAACGAGCGAAGCGGATTGTTGAAGGAGAGGATGGGCAATCTAACGAACGAACCCAGCAAGAATTCGCCACTGACGATGCATTTGCCAACCGACAGAGCAGGGCGTCTGGTACGAAAGCGACAGTGGTTTTTGTTGTGAAATGAACCCTCCCACTGTCGTGACGGGGTTTTTTTTTTTTTTTTTTTTTTTTTTTTTTTTAAGAAAACCTGAGACAGCGGCCCTGACCCTCCCCCGCGGAATGTTCGGGCATCCTGCCAGGGGTCGAGCAACATGAAGACGTCCTCTTGACTTTGTCTCCAATCTCTACCTTAGGAGTACGTACGAGTACTCCGTCCGGATACCTACCTCAGGTACCAACTACCTTAGTTACAAAGTGCTTTGTACGAAGTACCTTAATTAGGAACAAATACCTACGGTACTTGGTACTGTACCCGTCCTTGGCACGATGTTCCCGTTAACCCACCCAGGGCGGAGGTCCAACCCAACGTCTGAGGTAGCCAGTGATATGATATGCTCAAGGCCGAAGAAGCGTCATCAGCCATAATTTGGTCACTGCCTGCGCCACCCAATACCACCGTTGGGAAAGAATAGAACCTTTGACGTAAAGGTCACGATAGGTACATCGTCCGTTGCCAAGGCATTTTGGATGACTAAAAAAAAAGAAGGGCAGTCAGTCCTTATTTTTACCGATCAACTTTGGAGCCGTTAAATAAAGAGTCTCAAACAAGCCCCGTTGACCTCTCGCTCACCATCCTTCGTATACGGCGTAATACCTAATTACTTCGTATGTCCGATGTATATGTGCTTACCTTTTTCTTCGTTTAAAGAAGGAAAGAAGGAGGGGTGGGCAGCGGGGACAAGACGAACATCTTGGCCGGCAAGTTCCTTGAGATGCGTTGATTCCGCGCCCAGCACGGATATCCATATGTACTCCGTATTGAGTCTGTCGAACACGAGCTGGATCGAACTCCTAAAAGCGTGTGGGACTGTGACTGGAACACTGGCCGCCATTTTCTTTCCGGAATAGCGATCGGCAACCGCGTCTACCAACCTGGGGCCAAGACTCCGGACATCCGGAATTAATCTCAGACGGGCGCTTTTTTTTTTTATTATTATTATTAGAAGAAGAAGAAGAAGAAGAAGAAATGAACGCTACAACGTATCGAGACGTGAAATATTTCGTGCAATGACACCTCTCACGCATTAGAGCTACGGCGTGGCGCGGTTTAGATTGACCTTTCGATGAAGATGTGGGCTGTCTCGGTGACAACCTTTCTCTTTGCCTCTTTTATTCTGTCTTGTCTCCTTGGATGGAAAGTTGACGTGAAACGCAGAATATTAGAATTGCCGCGCAAAGAATCTGATCCTTCTTCCCTTTGTCTATCATTCCCACGATCATACACACACACCAGCTAAACATGTCGGCTCCGAGACCGCATTACCCCCAGACCCGGACCGACTCGCATTCCCTTCCGGCGCGCTCGAGTTGCTCCAATGCGAAAAGCTTCAGAGGCAAATCACATTTTCACTTTCCACCGTTGTGATTTCCCGATGTTTGTGTCCGAAAATATGTTGGTAACTATTACACCTCTGCAGCTGAACCATGGATCGAGGTCAAGGTCGATCTCAGGTTTTAAAATCTGTATGATCCGTATAAACATGATATACTCTGAAAGAACAGGTTCACATACCGTCCTAAAAGAACGAAAAGAACGACATTATCCCCTGAGGCATCTCTAACTAAGCAGCCACATGGCTTCACTTGACCAGCGAAATTCCATTGAATGTTTGGCTTGAGGATATAACTTTTTTTGATATCTCCATTCCCAGACAACCGCTATCTAGTGACGGGATTTGTCGGGAAGGCTTGCACCTATCTATGATGGGGAAAGGAACCAGTCTTGGAAACAGCAAGTAGACAGGGCCCTCGGCGAATTTTCAGCCGCCTCCATAGCCATTGAAGGCCTCCCGCAAGTCTGGAAGAGTGACTATAAGATACCGAAATCTAAGTGACGGTCACCCGGGGGGGAGGGGGAGGAAAGAAGAAGCAGGGGCGTAGTGGGTGAACGTTCCAGTGGGGTCAAGCAGCATGAACTTTTTCTTTGATGTGCCCCTTCATCCCTCCCTGCTGAGGAAGACGGAGGAGATACAGGGCGACTTGGCAGGTGATGGTAGGGTTAGATCCTCAGAAATTGGCCTGCCCGAATACCCCCCATCAGCCATCCGGGGAACCCAAAACGTCCCTACAGGCCATGAGAGGACGGGAAGCAGGGCAGAAGAAAAAAATCCCTCTCCCCAGGCCGCGGTTCTCTTAGCCCTGAGGTCCGAAGTATTTGCTAGACCCGTGTCTCCCCTCGATCACAGAAAGCTTCTGCGGGGAAAGGCGACACCCTCAACAGCCGGGTTATCGACAAACCAACTGCATCGGTCGCCGGCACCCTCGTTGACCAGAGCGCAAGGCAGACCATTGCTCTCGTCGAAGATCTGTTTCATGACGTCCTTCTTGCCGGCCCCGGTCGCGACAAACGCGACCTTGACAGCGTGGGTGACAACGGGCAGGGTGAGCGTGATGCGCTTGGGAGGCGGCTTCGGGGAGTCTTCGATGGGAGCGACCCAGGCGCTAGTCTCGCGAAGCAGCTCGTGCCCGGGGAATAGGGAGCAGGTGTGGCCGTCAGGTCCGCAGCCGAGGAGGAGAAGGTCAAAGATGGGCAGGCGGACGCTGTCGCGGCTGGCGAAGCTGGTGACGAGGATTTGTTCGTACTGGTCGGCAAGCTCCTGCGTGTCATTGAGGTGGGCGGTGTCGATGGGGTGGACGCGCGGGGTGCCCAGGTCGGCGGGGATCTTGTCGAGCAGCTCGGCCTTGAGGAGTCCGTAGTTGGAGTCGGCGTGGTCGAGGGGCACGGCGCGTTCGTCGGCGAAGAAGATCTCCCACTGGTCGAAACGGAGGACGTCGTCAGGTCCGCGCGAAGGGGCCAGAAGGGCCTGCGCCAGTACCTTGGGAAGAGAACCGCCGGAGACAGCGACCTTGAAGGAATCGTGTCGTGCTATGCCTGCATTTTGGGCGTTGATTACGTAGGTGCGCAGCGACGCGACGAGGGCGGCCGTGTCGGCGAATGCGTAGAGGTTTGGTTGCTTGCCCATGGTGACTGAGGGGAGGGAGGTGGTGAGATAGACGTGGAGGGACAAAAAAAAAGAGAGAGAGAGAGAGAGAGAGATTGCCTTGGTTATCACTGGTTAAATGGCGGGATGAATTAATTGTCTTGGATGCTACCCGAATGAAAGCTCTCAAGGTAGGGTGGAGAGCGGGGTGGGGGAAGAGAAAACGCACATGCCAAGTCTGCGCGGGGTTGGAGGGGTCGCTGGGACGGTATAATAATGAGCTGCGACGCTGCAATCTTATGATACCTACACAGCACTTCCGAAGACGCATCCTATGCCGATGCTTCCTTGGACTTGGAAGTACTCTCCAAGTACTTGTCTTATCTAAGGTACTCAGCTCAGATGGTTGCTTTGACGTTATCACACCTCGGTGTGTTCCTGAGGCCAACCTGGGCCACTGGTCATTGACGTATGCAAGGGATGTTCTCAAGAGGAACATAATTCCTTATTTATATCCCATCATACATATTACTTGGTGGGCTCTGGTATTACGAGGGACGGATACCAACGTTGTTGACTCGTCGTTGCCATGCTGTTCTTCCTCTACCCGTATTCATCGGTATGGTCTGTTTTTGTTGTACAGAGATAGACCATGCTGCTACATGCGCAGTGTCGTGCTTGTCGAACCTCTGACGTCCAGTTTCATTGGCTCGTACCTACCTTAGATAGTACTCAAAATGCTTCGAACACGTTGATGTGTGAAGATCCAAAAGTGACCGCTACACTAAAAGAGAATTCCCTTGTAGTATAGGTACTTTTTGGTAGTTATATAGTGGACTGCACCTAATCGCGACATGATGCAACCCACACTAGAGAACTTCCGGCCCATGCCCGCAGAAACGGAAGCTTCTCTTCTTTTTTTCTTTTTTTTTTTTTTAAGCTGACTTCAGAGCAGTCTAGTATAAAAATAAGCAAATTTAGTCTCTCACCGTAAGCTAGACCAACAACACAACACGTACCCGTGGAACAAGGTCAGACTTTGCAGCGGGGCGTGGCACGGGTGCGATGGAATGAGGTTCCTCGCATGCCTTCAGAATTCCTCCATTAAGGAGTTCTGGTCTACATCACGAGAGAGCTATTATGTCGAGGTTGCTAGTGCGTAACATGACACCTCGGACTCTTGTCCTCTACCATGCTACCTGAGGTTGTGTCGCCAGCCCGACAGCCATCCCACCAGGTAGGTAGACAGCAGCTGGAGAGAAGGGGCCTAGAATGTATGTGCGTACCTGCATCCCAAGGGTAACGGTCTCGGGGACGATACAAGTCCATGAATATCCCTCCCTGGGTACCTTAGGTACCTAGGTGAGGTAGGCACCTTCTGGGCCGAACCTTTCTCTACAGGTATCAAGCTTGCTATAGCCCCCTCGACCCCTCCCAACCAACCAGAACCCACCCCCCCGATGAAGGTCGGCTCGTACAGGCGTCGAGGTCTCAGTTGAGTACCAAAAGGGTACACTTCTACATCTAATAAGACGCTCATGGGGCGTAGGCACAAAGAAATGCAGCCGGCGGGTCCATCAGGCCGGCTGCACATCTTACACCCCGTCTCTATAACTTCGTCCATTCCACGTACGACCTGTCTCGTGTGCGGATATCATAGGCCGAATCGTAGTAGCAGCAGCCAGGATGTGGCCCTCGAACTCGGCCTCACTTTGTCAGACTTTTCATCTATGTCCCATTTGATGGAAGCTTGCGTAGGTCGCATCCCGGTGGCTCTAAAAAGGGGTTGATAGAACTACCTGGGCGTCCTGTAGACCCTCGAGCCTATTCCAGACATACTTCACGCATGAGGTTTGGCCACATCTTTTGGGAACTCCTGGAGTATGCGGTACGGTGAAGGACTCCTAATATGCCACGACTGCCTCCAGTCCCTGTAGTTAAGTCGCATATATCCGAGGACCAAGAACTGTACCGTGGACGTTCGTTTCCTGCCAGTCTGCTCCTCCAAGAAGCTAAACAGGTTGTCACAACTCGCGCATGCTGTGTGAGAGACGATGAGTGCATATAACGTACAGCAGCCTTACCCCGAATACTTCTCCAATGCCAAACCGGCAATGAGTGATGTCAACTGTGGACGGTATCTCCCGCGAAGTACTCCGCTTATTCCCGAAATAATCGACAACGAATCGACCTCACACGAGCTCAAGGGCATTGGTTTGCTGCTTGCTTTTCTAGCTGAAAAAAGGTTCACTCATCCTACCCCAGGGAGGGTTCGTGTGGGAACCCGTTGAAGGGCGACTTGAAAAAATAAAACATGCGACATCCAACGTTCGTTAATCTAATTATAGTTATATTGGCTACTCGGGTGGTCTAGCCCGCTGCTATCGACAAGTTACGTCAACACATGCTGATCCAGTTGCATTGACGGTGTTGACTTATCGATATCTCCATAAGGGAAATAGAAGAACCTGGGTCCGTTGAACAGCGACGAGACTTGCGGACCGAACGCACGTGGGATCCGCGTTAATCAGCATGTCTGTCTACGCGCCGAGAGCCATCATCCGGGAGACTCGGCTGTCCTGTTCAGGGTATGATATCCTGTGAATGTTCCTCTCTAGGATCGGGGTTGGTGTGGTACGACGTGACGTTCCCTTGCAACCCCTAAATGGCTGGCCAGAACTCAGCTCTATGGTCAGAGCTGGAAGTAGCGACGCCCAAGCCAAGAACAAGTACTGATAGTCAGGGCTGTTCTTTAGCGTTCTCGGCGTTTTCGCTGCTCTCAGCGCTTTCAGTGTTCTCAGCTCCCCCAGCCTTCTCGGCGGGCTCTGGCGTTAATTTCGGGCGCTGAGGCACGCGGATGTGTTGAATACCCTGTCGGGCAAGCTCGCGCTTGATTGTCTCCGTGGAGCACTCGAGGTTGGCCTTTCTCCGTAGTTCTTCGTATGATATGGAAGGGTCCTCTTTGATAAGTCGAAGGAGGTGTCTTGTATCGCGTTCACTAAGAATCCGTGGCCGCCCCGAGCGTGGAAGTGATTTGGCAGATGTCTGGTTGCGATATCGCTTGCAGATGCCACCCACTGTCCCCGGGGATATCCCTTCTCGACGCGCAATTTCCCGATAGGACAGTCCCGCCTCATGGAGAGCCACAATTCTAGTCCTCTTATGAGGCGAGTGTTGTCGTTTAGTCGATTTTGGTGGTTGATCTGACATTGTTTTGCCTGATTGGAAAAGGTAGAGTGGTTGTCTGTACGTGTAGAACGCGCTGGACGCGTTGGTTACATTTTACCGCGTCTTTTGTGGACCACTGTAAGTTTAGTAGACTATTCAGTACGAAGGTGCTCCTCCTGTGAGTGAAGTTGTTTAGAATTTCGGGGACTTCTCAGCCCTGGACTGGTCACGTGATATTCCATTGAGTGTCTTGACACTTTTGTAGAACCTTCGAAGCATCCAGAACAACCAAACAAATGCTTCGATTCTTCTGCGCGGTGACGTACTGTACAACGAAGAGGCGTCAGCTGATTGATACTCATATGGGTTAGTTCGACCAGTCTCCCCGACTCCATCCGAGAGTGTAAATAGGTTGGCACAAAACTGGCCCATGGTTCCCAGTACGGAGACGACCCTTCGACTCTACCTATGAATTGGCCAATGTGTGTCGTTGCGGCCCGGAGAGAATCAACACGGATCAGTCCACAGTCCACACTAACGTTGCAGATCTTGTCGCCTGGGCGCCCTGTCGTGCAGTTATTTGTATTTATTGATCCCACTGCTTTTCGTCTCCTTCCTTTCATTTCCGCCAATGCGAGAGCCGTCAAATGAGGGTTTCCGGAGCCCCGTCCGAAGTACATTCGCATATTACCGGCTCCGAGGATATTGTATTTCTGGGAGGATGCATTGAGACATTTCTTTCAAACGTTCAGACCTTTATTTTATAGCCCTATGAGAGGTATGAATAATACTTCGTAGGCCCCCCAAACAAAAGGCCGCAAACTGTTAGATGGTGACCTTTTTCGTAATAGAAACGAGAATGAGCCAGGCGAAGGCCGGTTTACATTCACGTTTACGTTGACACATGTACCAAGCACACTGATAGGCGGGTTGCATAACCCGCACAGGGCTAGCCACTAGGGCTTATAGTATTTCCACCGCTGTAACTATTTACGGAGCTCTCTTCTATCAATCAACAACCTCATAATCGTACGAGCGCGTTGTTTTAACACCAAGCGCCTGTCGCGGCTTGGCAAAAAGAGGGGCCCTTGAGGCTCGTGTTCCAGGGATGTCAGTTATTTGCGTTTCATTGAAGGCTTTGACGAGAGGCAAACCGCTCGACACATGGACTGGATGGTGCATTGTACAGTGTAAGGTCACGGCTCTACACTTCAATCGACCCAAGCAAACAGCCAGGCATGAGTTACCGTATTGAGGGATGATATCATCACTAATCCGTTGGATGGCAGACCTCCGGAGGGTTTTGACCGAAAGGTAGCTGGGAAATTCTTAGATGAAATGCAGGGCGAGCCTTGGTCCAAGTCTAGTTCAGGTCGGATACAGGGTCTGGTCCTGTGTAAGCAGAGAGTTTCGTGGTTCAGACCAACGGTCTGCCAGGATCCAGACCTTGTTCGCCTTGGGATCACGGGAAATATGACATCATTGTACATCAATCGGGGTCCATTCCCGCCAGGTTTCAACTGTACCGTGTGTACGTGCGTGGTACTTCCCCTCGTGCATCCAGATCGCGGCCCCTAGCCACGCTCTTATGCTATCCGGCTTTTTTAACAAGAAAAAAAGGGGGGCCGGCCCATGAGATTTGAGCAGGGTAGGAAAGGGAGCGGACAACAATATTTGATCATGGTCAGAAGTAGCAGAATATTCGACGACGGCGATAGGAGCGGCGGCATGGTGGTTGTGAAGGGGGTGAAGTGATGATGTGTCGCATGACCCTCAAGACCCTGAAGAGATGCATCTTTGAACGGGGCGGGACCCTGACATGCTACCTATGCAACAGGGCTCAGAGGGAAACCGAAGCGGCAGAACCAAGAAGGTCCGGTGATCCACGTTCGACAGCAGGCACATACGGCACTTCTTGTATCTGTCTGTGTCTTCACTTTGTATGTACTGTCGTAGGATACCTTAAATCTAAAGACTGCCTACCTACCTACCTATATGCACGGATACTCCGTAGGGGACGTAAAAACATGGGACGATGGGGTATTGAAGTCGTTTGAATCTGTGGCATATTCGTCCTGCATGCTGTACGAAGCACGCGGACGACTCAGGTGTATGGTACTTCCTGTTCTCTCCACTTGTAGGGACCCCGCCTCATCGTCGACTTTCAACCGTTTCCGTTGCTCACCCAATTGCGACACTGTACTCCGTACCAACATGGGTACGCAGAGGTCTAGGTACCCGCTGAAATTATGATCCCTCGTATACCTTAAGACTATATACAATAGACGAAGTGCAACATTATATACTTCCTACGGTACCCACTGTTTTAGGTACTTCCCTTTTTTGTAGCCGAGACTAGTGGAAATCTCTTTTTTTTTTTTTTTCAGGGTCCTCTCCCCCACCTGCCGAAACTGTCTTTTCTCGTGGGACACCCACATGTGGTGGTGACCTGCTTTGAATCACAGTCCGAATAAATTAGCAAGTCCCTCCCGATTCATCGTCCTGCCCGTAACAACGCGTTTTGCACCGTTGGATCCACCGTTGTCCTGCATCCGACGGTGAGGGACCAGCACCAGCGCCAGCGCCATCCTTTCCCCCCCTCTCCCTCCCCCCCCAAGGGCCACGTCGTAGCTGGCGATATTATTTATCCCTTGGCGATTTCTTCACCCTCCCTTTTCCCCTACGGCAGTCCGAGGGGGTGCAAGAGGAGTACTACCACCGCCTTCTCCTCGTGTCAGGTCAGGTGGTGCTATAAGAGCCAAGAAGACACTAGAGTGTACCCTTTCCTTCTTCGACTTTCTTTCAGTCCAGTATCTCCTTGGGTTGATCTGCCGCTCACGGTACATATGAGCCCTGCCGTTTGCTCGGTTCGCTCTCCAAAGTTCCGGGTACAACACCGATTCAGGGCAATCAGGGCAGGCCTATACTATACTATTCACGGAACACGCTTTCCCTTTGCTGGGCGCCACCCTTGAACACATTTCTGTCGTCGTACATGCATGCCGGGGTCTGGATACGGCTTCAGTGACATCAGTGCGCCGCCAATGACATCCAAAGATTGTTGACTTCAACCTTTCATGCGTGCCAGTCTCCCCGGCCAAGCCTTGGTATTGTCCCCGTCAGTACGAAGTACTGACAAATCGTCACATTTTGAGGTACTTATATTTTACGCTCCGCATGCGGTTCCCCTTGCGTGTCCCGCCTCCTCGTCTGCTTCGTTTTTACTGATTTGGCTAGCGCCTTGAGGTGGCCCTCCTTCTCTTCCCGGAACAACGAGTCTTGGGTCCATAAGCATGGACGACACCCAGTCTAAGTCTAGCATCTCCTCCGATTCGTCCTATGAGCCTGCTGCGAGCTTCGAGTTGTTACGCCGTCGCCAGGAGCTTACCGATGCCCTCGTCGACCTGCCCTATGACCTGATCCTATACCTTGAGCGAGCCGTCGTCCATTCGAACCTCGCCTACCCGGATCTCGCCGCCGGCGATGCCTACAAGGCCCTGCTCCTCAGCGACGAGGTTCTAACCGAAGGGTTCGAATACCATGAGGAAGCCCGCGCCAGTCTCGAAGCCCGCGAGCTAAAACCCGTGCCCCCCGTACTCGACCATGGCCTTTTGCTGGACCTCTCCGAACCCCTAGCCGTTCAGCACCCGGGTGATCGACCCTCGCAGATTGCCAAGCTGGCCTCAGTACGGGCCTTTCAAATTCTGTCTCTCAACCTCCTCCTCTGCGGTTGCCTGAAGAGTGCCTACGAATTCTGCGAACGCGGCCTCACGCTCGCCCCGAATAACAAGGAATTGGTCGAGACGCGGGGTTATATTCACGAAGTTGCGCGTCGGCGCTTGAACAAGCAGGACTTCAGTGTCGGCGATCTGCCGGACCGGGGCCTTGTGCGACGCGAGATCTACCCTTGGAATGACCACGAGCCCGACCGTTTCGCCCCCGAATCTCTCGCGTTTCTCAACAACGAGCTTCGGGACTTTGCTCCCAAGTGCGCCGTTCAGGTGTCTGAGCTCCCCGTGCTACTGGACGGGGAAAGCGAGACCGACGGTTATGACATCATACCGACGTGCCGTCAGCTGGGATTGTTCGCTGCGCAAGACATTGCGCCTGGCGAGCCCGTCCTTCGAGAGTACTCCTTGTTGACGGCCAACAACCGACTCAAGGAACCCGTCTGCGACGCATGCAGCTCGGAGCTTCCTCCGCTCGGCAGCGAGTCGGAAGCTGTTAGCTGTGCCGAGTGCGACGATACAGTCTTCTGCAGTCAATACTGTCACGACCAGGCCCAGGAGCTTTATCACCCAGCGGTTTGCGAGAAGGACATCGACGCCATCGCGAAGGATTCGGATGGTCGGGAAGCGGACGAGGCCCTGTATCTGCTTCTACTGGGCCGGGTCCTGGCTCTATCAAATCACCAGGAGATCCACCCCCTGGAGGCGAAGCAGATCAAGTACATCTGGGGCGACTTTGTCCCTTCGACGTCCAATGACCTTGATCTCTCGCCCCAGGCCGGCCCTCCGCCCGAATGGACGCTCCCGTTCTCCCTCAAATACAACATCGAGGCACCGCTTCATATTCTGGAGAAGATGGACGTCGACATCTATCGGACCCTGCCCGAACACGACATTTGGGTGTTCAATACCGTGTACAGCAAGTTCCGCGGTACCGCATCGGCGCGCAAAAGTCCCCGGGACGGACGGCCGGACGTCGCTGCCGTCCACCCTTGTTGGTGTCTCGCCAACCACGACTGCGATCCGAATGTCACCTGGGACTGGGGCGGGAGGATGGTTTTGTGGGCGCGGAAGGAGAGGGTTGTGGGAGGTAAACCCGGGGGTATTCGAGCTGGCGAGGAAATCTTGAATCACTATTGCGACGTGACGCTCCCCGTGCAGCAGCGGCGCGAATGGGCGAGTGGTAGCCTGGGAGGGTGGTGCATGTGTGACAGATGTCGCAGGGAAGCAGCGCTCAACGGCACCGGACACGACTGATCTGATTCTCATATCACGGAAGCGAACCCCTTAGAGTGATGCCCCATCGATAACCCGATACCCCTTGCCCTTTCTTTCTGGCCGTCTGGAGGGAAAGCGTTTAAAGCCCGGCGTTCCAAAATGACTTCCTACCGCTGAACGTCAACCATTTCCAGAAGAGTTGGATTCGACATGTTGCAAGAGATGTGGGTTTCGTCTGTTCTTGGTTACTTTCTTCCCTTTTATTTACTGACCCCTTCCCCTTTTCTCTTTCACCCTGAACATCTAGCCCCGCCTCGTCTCATTTTATATACGTCGAGACAGACCCCTTGAATATAACCTGCATATATAATGTTACCCAGACCAGTCCGCTTCCGTTTCCCTGAAGTATGCGCAAGAAATATAGATTCTTGCGACAAGGACGTGACTGACCGTGACACCGAGTTCCAAATCCGCCAAAACAGCTTTCCATGCGTGGCGAGGAGAGGACATACTTACCTATGTTATGCCTGGGTGGGATATTGTGTATGATGCATGCCAGACACCACAAGAGATACGGAGCAGAGATACTCGAAACCATTGTCATGGACGGGCAAAGACATCATAATATCATATGGGGAGAAAGAATGAGCTTACAGAGCAGAAGGGTAGGTACGAATGCATGTGAAGAGTTGAGAACGACATGATTTCATGTCTGTGCATCAAGACATATATATAACCCTCCGCTCCTTTTCCAGCCCCATGTCCGCCAAGGGAGCGAACGCCGCGGCTGCATTCAGGCAACTCGATCGATACCTGCAAGATCGATATGACTTGCCCGTATTTTTTATTTCTCGTCATCCAACCCCTCGATTCCCAGTTCATAGCCACGTACCGAAGAGCCCGCCCTTCCATAAACAAATAAGACAGAGACGCAGAACGCAAGGAAAGAGAATGCCCAACAAGGTATCAGCCTCCAAGGAAACAATCGAGGAGGCTCGTAGGGTCCCGCACATCTCGCAAGTACGCAAGAGATCTGCATGCCCATAGCAACAAAGAATTGAGAGTATAAATAGATAAAAAAAGAAAGAAAAATCAGGTGCAGCATGTGTTGCGGGTATGATTTGCGTCCGTCTGGCGGAACCAAAACTCTGCGAGAACGAATTGCGGCGGCGCGTCATGTCGTTTGTGTTTAAAAGATTTTCCACGGCCACCCCGTTTCTTGGCCGATTTTCCTCCCCCGATTCCTTCGTGACTCGGAATATCATACAGCCCCACCCGCCCTTTCACCCTCCATCCGCGCCACAGCGCGGGTCGGGGGAAAAAAAAAACGCCACATGCTTCTAGTTCGGCATCCGCAGGACGGGATACAAGGGCGCCGCCGGGCTAGGGCCGGGCCTCTTCGAGTCAACTTCCATGGCCTCGGGGGAGCGATGCCGGTTGTCGCGTTCCTGGGAAGCGTGGGCGGAATGCGAGGGGAGCGTGCCATGAGCAGGGCCATGGGATCCGTGCGAGGCGTGATGAGCCCGGTGAGTGTCGTCGATAAAATCGCTGCGGGCGATGCGGTCGCGGATGTACTCGCGCAACGCCTCGATGGTCCGCATGTTCTCGAGCCACTGATCGTACTTCTCCTCGCGCTCTCGGGCGCTCTCGCTCGTCTCCGACTCGGAAGACGGGGAACTGATGGAGGAGGCCGCCCGGGGAGGTTCGGGCTTGACGGGCCCGGGGGCGGAGGTGGGTGCCTCGGCTGGACGAGGGGCGGGGTTGGCACGCTGGAGCATGCCGCCGCCGTAGTTGCGGCGCTCGTTGCTGTCAAAGTTGGTTCCGAGGGTCGAGGTGGTCGATTGGCCCGGGAAGACCGAGCTGACGGCCGGCAGGTTGGGATACATGACCGAGGAGTTGGCGGCGGCAGTGGTGCTGTGGCGCGACTGAGGAGACATGCCAGAGGAGGAGGGGCTAGGCGACTGGCCCGAGGTGTAGGAGAGATTGCTGGAGGGGGGTGTCACGGCAGGAGTTCCGTTGGAGGAGATGGCGGTGAGAGGAGAGGCCATGTGGGCCGCCGAGACGGCGGCTTGATAATTCTCCGGAGCCATGGACATGGCGCCGCTGCTTCCACGATGGCCGTTGGCCATAGGAGGAGATGGGCTGTGTCGGAACTCGAAAGTGTTCTGGCCGTGGATGTGGACACCGCTGGTCGCCTGATTCGCATTCTCGTAGACGGTGCTCTGCATCTGTTCCAGAATTTGGTCGATCTGGATCAGGTCGTTCTTGGTCCGGGCGTTGGGCATAGGCGGCAGGTAGTACTGCTGCGCCAGGGGTCCTGGGCCGGCCGGGCCGCCGCCATGGTGGCTGCCATCATGGGCCACAGCATGGGCGGCAGCATGGACGGCATGCTGATGGTGGGCCATATACTCGGCAGAGGGCATATGGGCGGGAGTCTGGAGAGCGAGGGCGCCATGGAGAGGGAGTAGCGAGCGGCCGACAGAGGCATACGAGGCCGGGTCTACCTGGCGGCGCTTGGCAGTCGCAAAGAAATCATCAACCATGTCATAGGCCCGCTTACGCGAGTCGAAGCCGGCGGCAGCGTGGTGATGATGATGGCCGAGGTAGTCCGGGCCACGGGGAGGAGCATAGTAGAGACCCATAGACGGAGACGGAGCTGGGGCTCCCCCGCCATAATAGCTAGCATGCCCAGGGGCCTGATGGGGGAAGGCGGCCGCGTTAGTCCGAATATGGCCATTATGATCATAGTAGCTAGGAGCAGCTGCGAGGCAAATTAGCCCCTGGTTTGTTTGTGAGGAGGAGGAGATGGCGCCAGCCACACCCACACAGGAAGGGAAGCGCAAATTGGACTTAATACATACCTTTGCCGGGCTGAGCGCGGTAGGCCCCATTCATGCCCCCTTGGTCCTGGGGTGACCGGACAAGGACAGAGTCGTCGGCATGAGTCTGAGGGCGGTAGAAAAAAAAGGAGCATATTAGCACACTGATATGAAGACGAAGTGACAAAGTCTTTCTTCTCGTCTTACCTTGACATGCTTCTTCAGATCTTGGGGCCGCTTGAAGGACTTGCCGCAGAATTCACACTTATGCGGCTTCAGAGGCACATGCACGCGGATGTGGGAGGTGATGTGATCTCTCTTAACAGTGGTCGTACGGCACGAGTTCCACTGGCAAGTGAGGTTCAGGTTGTTGGTGCTCTTGCGGCCTACATGACGCTCGCATAGGTGCTCCTGAAGGTGAGGCGGGAAGAAGTCAGCTCGCCATTGAGTACAACGCAAAAAGAAGCCAAGAAGAAGAGGAGGGGCCCGAAGGGGTCTGGGGTTCATACGTAGAGCGCCTCAGGCGTGACAAACTTGAGATTGCACTGATTCCACTTGCAAATGAGGTTGTCGTCCTGAGTGGTAGCAGCACTGGCAGCCGTTGAAGAAGACGTCGCGGTGGCTGGAGCAGTAGACTGGGAAGTGTTGCTGCCGGCGCCCGACGAAGGGGCCGGAGTGTTGGAGTTTGACGACGCACTTCCCGAAGATTGTTCCTCGGGTCTGGCGGACATGATGAAGAGGGAAGTGAGGTGAGTGAGTTGATGGATAGGATTATGAGATGCGTAAAAGTGAGCGTTTCAGAGAGGTAAGGTGACAACAGCTGGTAGTGATTGGTTGAGGGCGTTGACAGTGGCCCGTTGTCAGCTGGTGGCTGAGAAGTAGTTTTCCGCCTTGCAGACACTTGGAGTGACAAAATTCTTGGCGCGAGGAGAGGTGGCGGCCGCCCCTTTTTTTTTTCTTTTCTTTTCTTTTCTTTTTTTTTTGCTCCTGGCAGGCGACTGGGCGTCAGGTGGCGGAGAAAGAGGGGAGAAATTCGGCAATTGGCTAGCAATTGGCTAGGAGTGTAAGCGCAAAAGGTGGATGAAAGAGGATTAACTCGAACCCCAGGCGGAAGTCCAAAGGAGAGGCCGGACTTGACAGGATGAATATCTTCTTTACCTCCGATATCCTCGAAAAGCTGAGAAGAGTCTAAAAAGATGAATTGGGGGTACTGAAAGGATACGAACAGATGCGAAGGGGAGGGGGGTTGGTTCAGGCGACAGCCCGTCTCTTTATTCCAAGAGACTGATCGGAGAGCGACTTACAAGAGCTCTTGGCATATCTTGGCATATCTTGGCAGTCGCGGTCTACTATGGGGCCCCTTCATTTCATTGGCCCGGGGTGGCGAAGTGGCTCTTGGTCGGGTTCTTTTCGGTTAGCAGTACCTAGCAATAGTGTAATGAGAGTGCTCAAGGTCTGGTTCCCACCTTAACAAAGAGACTAGAGATGGCTCATGGCGCCAATAATTTGCCAAGTACTTGCCAAGACTCGGCGTGCCTTGGTAATCCTGTGAGGGTTTGGCTGTGTCTCTTAACTGGCCCTTAAGGGGAGGGATTTGATTCGTGTATGTAGGTACCTAGGCACCTTAGTTATCTGTATCCGTACCCAGAACGGTACATGCTGCCACTTCCCGCCTTGTTCCCTCCATCCCTCCGACTTTGTACGTACTTTCAACTTGCCCCTCATTCTCTCCAAGCCTCTCTCTCTCCCTCTCTCTTTGGGTAGCAAACTGGATAGCATTCCGTGCAATCCCAGTTCTGGTGACATGCCAAGCGGGTTATTATCCTAGATAATGACATTCATACACGATGCGATGACGGCAGCTATTAAGGGTTATCTTGACTATGAGTATGGGTACAACAGCTTTGGCCCGGATTCATTCCTCGCTAGGTATCCATACATTCACTGCACTCTGGATATATGGACTTGTACGGTATGAAGACGAGAAGGCTGATTTCACCCTGGCTCGAATCCGACGGGATTCGGGTACGCCCTGTAATTACCTTACAAACATGACTCGGGAGGAGACCTCCATACGACTAAATAAGGTCCCTGACGTATAATACCGATGGAACTCTTTACTCTGTTACCATCTACCTGAAATTGATCTGTCGGAGTACATATTTGTGTTACCTACCAAGTCCGGGCTACGTGTGGTGCATATTCGCATTTTCAGTAGTGCGAGTCTTAAATCGGGACGTTGAAGAAGGGACTGCCATCGAAGTGAATAAGACATTTCAACTTCCGACGAGGAGCAAGCCGCCGTTTCCTCTCTCGGGGTGACAGGACAGGACAGGAGAGGAGAGTTGCAACGGAAGCCCAGCCAGAAATAAAACGTTAAGAAACGTTAAGCTTTCCGCTGCGGCCGAGACTTTCCCTCTCCGCCCGCCAAGCCTGTGACCTGCAAGCCCGCCCACCCGGGCCACGCAATCATTTACTCCACTGAACGAACTGCCGACCAATCACACTGTCACATATCTGGAGGGTTAGGCAGGGGGCAGGAAACGCATCTGCAGGCCCGACAGAGCACATTGCCTTGCGAGGTCACTGACTTCTGCCAACTTCGCACAAAAGGCAAGTGCCTACCTAATTATAAGCTACGATGTAAGTATTCGCGTGCAGATGGGTTGAGGAAGGAAGAAAATCAAAATCCCCAGTTGTGACTTTCTTTCAACCTATCTTCCAAATTGTTCCAGGAACTTCTCGTCAAAGTAATATACTTCGTACGGCAACACAATACATAAGGTACCTACCTCTGCATCCATCCCATCCAGCCGCCATCAATCCTTGGCGTTGGATCGTCCAAGTTGATCCTAACAAGACGCTATATATCGCTCGGAAAACCAATGCGATGCTTAATTTAAAACAAAACAACATACCTTTTCTGTCCACGAGTCTGCTCCCCCTGTAAACATCAGCTCGTCACCATTAAACGTAGCTACATACACACACACCAGATTAGCTGTAAGCCGTCACCTCAGCCGTCCTGCTGGGCATCGCTGATGTCATGAATGTCCTGGAACCACAACGGCGCCCTCTTCAAGATATCCCCCGCGAGGCCACGCTTGGTTGCGCATTCTTCCTTGACATTATCTTTGTGGCAGTCTGTCAAAAGCTGCACCAGCACCCTTCAACTATCTCGCTTTGCCGAGTCACCTTCCTGCACAAGCCACAGCTTATGCCCAGAAAGCAGATTCATCCATATGCCGTTCTGGGCCCTTATCAACCAAGGGCTTCCTGGTGTCAATGTTACCAACCCTGGGGCACACGATCTCTTCGCCTTCGATTCGCTTGTTCGACTGGCTGGTCGCCCAGTTAAATTACCACACTAGACACGCTGCCAAGTCCTGCCAAGACATACCAAGAGAATCCAAGACACCACCAAGACACTCTAAGCCCTTCGTCATTTCTCGCGCTCCATCTTAAGCCCCACCTGATCTTTTCACGTGTCCCTATGATCCGTTGATCGGCGGCTTATTCCTTACGGGCTCTCGAACCGGTCAACAGTGTCATCACCCCCCCATCCCTCAGTTTTCGTGCGGGGCTCTTAACAGCCCCTCTTCGAAGTACGACAACTCTGATCTTTTGATCTTCAAGAGACGTTGGCCTCACACATCTTTGGTCTTTAACATCAACCAAGAGTTTGTCCAACCGAAGGACATCTCGAGAGGCGGTAGGCATTCTCCCCGCAAGTAACACATGTTCGAAAAAGCAAAGGGCAAAGGGGAGAGTGCAGGAAGATGGATAGATGAAGATGGACTCTTCAGTCGATGGCTACCCATAATACCAAGCCTCTCCCTCTAAACCAGATCAGTTTCTGGTTTCTTGCATGCACATTTTTTGGGGAGGGAAGCCAATGTCAACAGCGTCCTTTACTTTAGGGCACCTCCGAGCAAAGACGGCAACGGCGTGGGCGTAGTTATTTTGTCCGCGGCTTCATGGTTACGCCGTTCATGAAGACCGACAAGAAAGGGGAGTGCCTAATAAGCTTCGCGTCCCGTGAAACCCCATACTACGGTCCTTGGACACGTTTCTGAAGCCTGGCAGTGCTGCGACTACCCAGTCATTATCGACAGGCTCAGGCGGGTTCCTGGCTGCCAAGACCCTCGCTCGACAAGCGTTGGGCATCGCCACTCATTCGAACCCCATTTTCAAGGACTCGAGGGCCCCCGGCCGCCTGATCACCAAGATGCCCTGAGATCCCGTCGCTCCTCTCATCGCGGGACAAGATTACTGCAGATTAGCCCGCACCCTAAACGACTAGTCGATCCGCCAAGTCGCCATGGCCAAAGAGCCAAGCACGCCTACCCTCATTTCCCCCGCCTCTTGTCTATTCCTTCGTCGTCCATAAGGCGTCATCTGCCGGGGGTAGAGGCTGTCCAACTTGGCAAGAGTCTTTGTGGCTGATCTGGGCTCACGTCAGGCCCGGGCCAGGTCTGGGCTGATGCTTAATATCAAAAGCTCCAGTGATAGTTCCAAGCCGCACCACTGCCAGTAGAGGAGAGACGTTAAGGACCAGCCTTCCTGGATGGCCGAGGCAAAGAGTGTTTCCTCTCCTCGTGATTCGGTACAACTCTGTGGAAGAAATATGGCCAACCCTTCCCAGTTCCATTGGCTTGAATATGGCCAGCTTCGTGCGTTGCGAAAGCTTCATGTCTCCCGACCTCTCTAGCATCATGATTGCGAGATTGCGGGCGAATGGGCTAAGCATGTATGGACCTCTTCATCGCTCTATCATCCAGCGTTCGTAGAGTGACGCTACGCTGAGGAACTGCCATTGATTTCTGCAGGATAGCAGGTCGGCACTCATCGTTCAACTCGAGTCGAGGTTAGGTACACAGGGCATTCGTTAAAGGACGGTGGAAATGGCACGAGAGCCCGGGTTCCATCAAGTTTGGGAGACGAACAATGTCAGGTTCCATTCTGTAAGCTATGACGAAGACGTAGGCATAATGACCCAAGACCGCCCTCCATAAAGACCATAGCGTAAGAGTCTTTGTTTTTGGTTGCCTTTCCTTCCAGAGGGAGGACTTTCCGCCCTTCTCCATCTTCTCGCCCCCTTGACTCTGTCTTGTTTTCTAGTTCTAGCTGGTGTAAGTAAGAAAGCTTCAACACCACCAGCGAGCCTCGTTATGAGACATATCAATGTCCAAATTCACCTCTCCTAGCCATATTCCTGACCCTCTCCAGCTCCTCCTTCTTAGCTGGCGGCAGTGTTCCCTCCCATCCAATACAGCCGCCATCTTGTCTTTCCCACGCGAACAAGCACTTCATGCCTGTTATCCAACGGGACGAACTCCGCTGGAGGTGAAGCTCAAGATAAAGACCCCGATCTAAACCCGATGCGTATGCAGGGACAGACACAGTATAGTCCGTCCCCAAATGCCTCCACATGTAATGTTGAAGTGGGGTGATGCCAAAGAAAAATAGAAGTTGAATGGGTTATGTGCAATAAAAAAGTATACGTCAAAATGAGTCGTAATCATGTTTCCAAGGAGTGAAATGGGGTTGAGGGGAGATCGTAACGGCCAGCTCGTTACTGTCCCCTTTGTAGCTGCTTGCCGCGATGTTGCATCAACCTATTGATGACTTTCGGGCGCTTCAAAACCAACGAAAGCAAGGGTAAAAGGGTTCTCAGCTCAATGGTATCTGAGACGCCTATCATCTCCAACGTCTGCCCATGCGATAGTGGTGTCAAATCGCCGGTATAGCAGATATTGCCGAGGTCAGGAACGGAGAGCACACCGTATCCTCGTCGTCGGAAGAAAAAAAAACCCCTTCCCCAGGTTGCGTGATAGCAGAGACGAAAGTCGTAGTGGTTCGAAATGCAGCTGAAGAGCCGCCATCGTAGTAGAGTAGCGATGCCGAACCAAATCCCTGAGAGGACGAAGGACGACAATGGAAAAAAGAATGCTCGTCGCCGTCACCGCACTATTCCAGACGCCGCCAGCTGATAAGAACGTTCCGCGTCATGAGCATGTTGAAACTGTGATCAAGGGCACGCCGGCCCGATCACAGCAATCATGACACAGCATCCCTTGGTCCAGCCGACCATCTAGCCCGTTCCCAATACCTAGCCAATAGAAGAGATAACCCATGTTCTCTGGGATAGCCCAATGTTTCCAAACCCGCCACATCCCATACCAACCAAAGAACGCCATGCTAATGCAAAAAATCAAAAAGAGGTATTATACAGAGCCCAGGCGAAGGAGAGCTTCAATCGCCTCACGCTCCTGTGCGTCAGACGTAGCTCCCAGGGCTGAGAAGTCTATGTTGCATGGCTGCGGTGACCGTGCCATGCCGGTCGAGACCGATCGCAGTCCTCCATGCGTATATACAGAATTGAGGTAACTGCGACACGACTGAGCAGCATATGATTCGCGACGAAGCGCGGCGGCGCCCACGGCTGCCCAATCCTCGTCGTCAGTCACATCCTCGGGATCGTCATTCATATTGATATCATCGTCGGGGGCCTCAGAGCATGAGGCAGAAGCGGAGCCGTCAAGAGACATCTTGTCCGCTTCGTGCTCCATCATCATGTCGTCGCGGTCGTCGTGCGAAAAGCCGATGGAGTTTCCGGCATCTGATGAGGGCGGGTGTAGTCGAGATCTGTCGACGGCCCGGAGCCCACCACTCTTGCCGATGGGAATACCCGAGACATTGTCCAGGTGTGTTGGAGGGAAGGTGGCCACATGGCGCGATGCCTGACCACGACGGCGCGCGTCCCAGCGACCCCAGCCGACTTTTTCAAACTCGACATCGCCGTGTAGTCCACCTCCCTCGCCGCCGCGACCTTCAAGAGCGCCAACGACAAGTCTACGGGCTTTGGTCGGGGGGATGCCAGCGAAGCCTGGAACCGAGGTAGTCAGGTAGCCCATGATGTGGCGTATGGCAAGAGGGCCGTGGTTGAGCAAGACATCGGGCAAGTGGTGCTTCGCCAGGAGTTGGGGTGTGATGGCGCCGACAGCTTCAAACGAGGGCGAGCGGCCAGCGTGATCATCGTCGTGAGGCTCGTGCAGATCCAGATCCGAATCTATGGGATCCAGTCTGGCCTTCTGCAGTTGCGCCTTGAGACCATGAGGTGGTAAGGCTGGGGAGATGGAGTTGGGAGGCGTTGGGAGTGCCTGAGGTCGGGTCACAGTCACAGGGACGCTCCGAGCCGCTACAACAGCTAAGTTGTCTCGGCTCAAGGAGGCCTGGGGGGTATCGCGAGCAGCTGCTGCCATGGTTGCCATACTGTCGGTTGGGTTGCGTTGGAACGAGCTTCGAGATGAGCCTGCGAAGGGAAAGATGAGACTGTTAGAGGCGCGATTCTGCGGCAGGGATGAAGTGTGCTGGGAGTGTGCGATAGGGCAAATATGGTGTAGAATGACCACGCCAACATCGCTGACTTCAATGCCGATTTGGGAATGTAGGTGACAGAAGCCAAATAAATGCCAGTGATCGCAATCGCGGGTGGCGGTGGTTTGTTGATGATTTGAGTCATACACGGGGGGAGGGAGAAAAGATAAGTACAATAAATAAGGTAATAATACTCTCTGTACTTACAAGTCAATCTGAAGCTGCGATATGATGGGACTGCTTTGCGCTGACAGGGCAAAGCAAAGTAAAATCACCAATGAATAGTGACGATGGACAAGCTGGCAGAGCTGAGGCGATGGCCTTGACTGTGACAAGATAATCTCGATGAGATTGCGTGTTGTTTTCTGTTTTCCTGATGGTTGTTTGGGGAGAGGAAAGAAGGGAGGAAAGGGGAGGACGAGGAGACTGGGGGAGGATTAGCCAGAGCTAATAATGGACGCGACAACAATACAGTCACCGGTCACCAAGGTACGGACGGGTATGTACTAGGTACAGAATACTTATCCCCACGACTGATAGGTGCGGACAGGGGGCTCCAAGCCAGGAGTGGGCCATCGGAGTACAGGAGTACGTCACTTTTACAGTCGGACCTGAACGATGGGATAAGAAGTCACTCCAGTATTTCTGAAGATCAGCATACTGTATACTTGAAGTGAACTTCTCCGGCGTATGTGTTGATGCTCTTTTTAAATGTTTTTGCAGGTTCTCAGCTACTTCCATTGACGACAACAACTTGGGTGTGGCTTAGGGCTAGGTCAAATGTTTTAGTCTTTTAAGTTCCAGACATTGGCGAACAAAGATCCAAATTGCAACCACGATGGGCCGTGACTGGGTATGAAATTACGAAGCCTACCTTCCCCGACGAACGGACCTACGTGTGTAATTAGCTTCCCAGCTATTAATTTCACTAATTGCCTATGGTATTGGTGGTAGCTGATGAGATTGAGATGAGCTTATTACACCCAATGGGATGTGCGCATGCACCCAAAGTTCTGTAGCTTTCCTTTTTACTTCTACCTTTCATTCATTGTTTCCCACCCACGTTCTGATAGAACCTGACCCCCCTGGGACGCGACCATTCAGGTAGCCGACATGTTTTGACTCAACTAACTCGGTGACCTTTTGTCTTTCTTTTGCTCGTCCGGCCTACTCCTAGAATGGTTCCTGAATTACTCACTGTCTTATATGCGCAACATACGAAGATAAAGGGACAACAGGGGACCGGGGCGGATTGATGAACTGTCTTCTTTATCTTGGAAACAGAGGCGCCTTTCCCATGGTGTACAAAAAGTGATCATATAACGTACGTTGTATGTAGTTGTCTTCAGCCGAGGTTGGCCTTCTAAGTTGACGTGGTGATGGGGACAGCTCCCATCTAGTCGTAGCCACAAGACAGTTGGTTACTTAGCTTCATGACCCCATACGATCCACCTTTGCTAAAGCCCCCCTGAGAGATGCCATCGTGGGACCATCACTTATAATTATCATGAAAATCTTCCCTGTTCCTAGGATGATAGTCAGGATCTGCACCCGCCGGTCAGGATCTGCACCCGCCGGTCAGGATCTGCACCCGCCGTTAGCCTAGGGTTAGGGCAAAATGACACCTTGAAGGATTTCCGCTTAGAAAGGCATGACATGCTGAAATCCGTTGGAAGTTATCGTATTTTCAGTACGGACTATGCATACATGACCCATTCTGCTATACGAAGGTGCAGAGGTTCTCAACCTTTCCGTCGGCTGATTTTATTTCGAAACAAAAGGGAGGAAGAAATCGGGGGAGACAATAGTGAAGCAACCAAGCGTCATTATCTCATCATCAGCTAGCAACTTCAATATTGGCTTTGTACCCCAGGCCCAGGCCTGTTAATGTCGTGCAGCCTCTTATACCTACGCTAAGCCTATCAGTGACATGGATCAAAAACTACCGGCCGAAATCGTTCATTCCTGTGGCTGGTGCTATCTGTGGCTGCTTCAGGTATGCCATTAGAATCTCCGGGCCAGGTAACCGGCCAATCAAATAATTCCCAGCGACCACGCTGAGTAAAGCTGCTGAATCCGTTGTCCATACTGTGTAATTACTCCATACGCGAACATGGATGGATACCCGACGCATCCGTCCTCCTGAATCCTCCATCGTGTCCCGAGACCACGCTTACGGATTTTACAAGTAGGATGTCTTGGATGGACGTAGATCCTTAGTATATCATGTCCGGAGTCTCCGTATAGCAACAATTTGCTTTCCAATTTGATTCCAATTTGATTCTATGGACACAAAGAGAAGCCAATGACACGGGCATAATAAAGTATTAGATTAGGGCAGCTAGGGCATTGGTGCACAGGATGATTATCACAAGGGCTGATGTTGAAATTTATAACAAAGGAGAATCTTCCATTCCCTTCCTTTCACATTCGTGTCATTCGTGTCATTTGTGTATCGGTCTATGAGGCTATGCATGCCCCCCATTAAGTGCCTCCGTCCATCGCCGGTTTTATCCGTCCAAGTCCCAGTCTCCCGCTGACACTAAAAAGCCAATGTACAGAATACTTCGGACGTTCATCACCACCACAACCAGAACACCAACAAAAGACATCAGGCGTGCCACGCGTACCACACATACTACCTCTCCTACGGTATCCTAACCCCATATAGGTAGGTGTCTCTCGCACTATTCGATTCTCGTGACCCTCCTACTTCGCCCCTCCAATCCGGGATCTACCGTACCTACATTGGTGTCTAGTCTGGGACGGAGGGCACCACTCTGTCCATAGAAACTCATCCGTCTCTTATTCAAGTCAAAAGAAACCACGACGGTTCTTGCAACCATCATGTTGGACCAGGAGACACCCCTTATTGGTCTCATCTTCGAGACAAAGATCGCGGCCTGCCAACAGGCACAGTGTACACCGTACCTAGACAGACCCGAGTCGGACACCCCCCCTTTGTGCCGGACCCATCGTCCCAGTAGGTATTGATACCATCCCACATTGGCCTACTGCAACATGTAAGGCTTCGAGGGGCGGCGGAACCATTACTCGCCAATTTGGTATATCTGCTGGTCGCAGTTTTGGCCAACCGATGAATGAAGGCCGTCCAAGTAAAGATGGACCTGGTATGGATGTCTCGGACCTCGTTTTGCTACTTGTTCAAAGAAGAGTAACGACAACTGGAATCCGTGGCAGGAAATTCCAATAGGCGGCTCCCAGCGCACGAAGAGTTCTGTGCGTCGATCACAACATGGCCTAGGCGTCCGCCCCCCCGCGTTGCGGCCTATCTTCCTATCTGCACAAGCTATTCTATTTGTGCTACTTAATAGGTAGATAGGTAGTTTGTGTGCTTATCAGGGCTATCGGACTCCGATC